ACGCATGCGCAGATGCGGTTTTTTTTCACATTTTCCAGCCCCCGCGGCCTTTTTGAATCACTCCTTGAAAGCCCAATTTTTGGCCCATTAGTTAGAACGGCGGAGATAGGCGTGACTACGTTCGTTAATATATACAGTCTATGGTGTGAGCCCAAGTGTCGAAACGAGGCCTAAATGAGGCTCACCCCTTGATCCTGGGATAATGCTGTTCTGAATACACTCATTATCAGTGAGGTGCCGGCCTTCTCCCATTACACCTCACTGTTCACACTGTCGGTCAAGACATACCACTGCGGCTTAAGTGGTATGCTCCACAGGTAGCCCACAACCTCTGAGCATTTGGGGAAAGCTTGTTCCTCATTACGCTTTTGTTCATTTCAGTTTTACAGTAGAAAGTTTATAAGAAAAACCACACTGTTTTGTGGCCATAGTTTAAATATGCATTAATTAATGAAAATTCTTTGTGCTAAAGATCGGATACAACAAAGGGGAGAACATGCAAACCCCACTCAGAAAGACCCTGTTCCAACTGGGATTCAAACCCAGGATCTTCTCGCTGAGAAGCCAGAGTGCTATCCACTCAACCAATGTGCCGCCCATGAGCATGTACATGTGTGTAATTATGCAAAACATGTATCTTTTGCTCCTAGTGAAAAGGCACAGTTCCTTTTTAATTATATTAGTGACGACAAACAGATTTTATCAGAGTTCCTGGAAGTTTAGAATGGCATTTGGTTGTGCTCCTCGGGGTATGGGTTCCTTCTCATGATCCCTGTCGTCCGGTTCATCTGCTAATGTCGATTCACAGATGCAAGTACATAACGGGGAAGTGGAATGTTTGTCCACTGTCTGAAGCTTGTGTAACGGGTCGCGGGTGTGAGCGAGACGGTCTGTTTATGAGGAAGCTTGATGGCAGCTGATAGAGCCAAGAAAGAATGACAAGCAAGTCTAAGCAAATATCTTCAATGTATTCACAAAGTTTTGAGTCTTGTTTTGTCTCCTTTGTGACATCAAGCGACCACTCCTGAGTCCTGAACATCAGCTGCATTGAACTGACCAGTTAACCTGCGTCTCCTTTGATTGTTGTCGGTGTTTTGAAATTGTTTGGGTGAATTGTACAAAAAGAACGGTGACATGAAATTCTAAATCTAAAGGTTGTTTCTGTAGAATACCAATTAAAAGTAACTGCTTTTTTTATATTTTAGACTTGTTAATCATATTCTCTTACCCATTTGAATATTAAATGGTAACATGAAGTCATTTGTCTTGCACACAGTAGTAGCTTAGTAAGATTTGCCAGCATTGTATGGTTCTTTTGAAATCATGCTTTATTTATATTTGGATATTATGAAGTTGCCCGTGGTTTCAAAATATTTGGTTCGGAATTGCCTTATTTCTCTGGTGTATGCTGTTGATGGAAACCTGGAAATAAGTACTATGTAAGAAAACCTAAAAGGTCTTCCTGGATTGGCCAAAAAAACCCTCTCTGTTTAGGAAAACCTCTTTCTAAAATACTGCGGTCTTTGTTCTCTAAAGGGGCTGGTTAGAGATTTGGGGGTGGTTTGCTTGGACCCCAGCCACATGTTGTGATCCATTCGAAAAAAGTTGGTTTTCAGTAGTGCTTCATTGGGGTTTTCAAAAGTATCAAAATCAGATAAAGATACTTAAGCTAAATACAACACACTGTAAAACAAAAGGCCCTGAAAAAAATATTTGTGAAAATAAGAACTACTGCTTAGAATATGAAAGATTATCTGCCAATAGAACAAGAAAATATAACTTGACAAGATTTCTGAAAATAACATACTAGCCCCAAATGACTTGATTTTAGTATAAAAACATACATTTCCTAGTAATATTTACTTATTTCTTATAAAATTTTGATAAATGTTTTCTTGAAATATAGCATAGCATACTTACTTTATCGAAACAACCAGAAATTAGAAAAAATTGTTGAAACGAGCATTGAAAACTCACTGCTATGACTTTTTCCTCTAAGATTACGAAGTAAAATAATCTAACATGACAAACTAAATTCCAACAAAAAAAACTTGCCATTTAAAAAATAAGCATAATTGATATTATTTTTAGTAAATAAATTCTACCCAGGTTTAACTTTTTTCAGTGTAGAAACCTCAGCAAGAATTAGAAAATGGGACACACAGAACAGCAGTGTGCATTTCCTTGAAGAGTTAGGAAAACTATAGTTAGATTTTGGCAAAATAAAACATAGTGTATTCTGTGATATGAAATGGGTATAAAGTATGTTCATCATTAGAATAAAACAATTTTGACATTTTAGTATTATGACTAAGCTGTATGATTTTAGCAGAAATCTTGAGTCTTAAATTGCTGTATTCCTTGTCACTTGCGTATTGTGACTTCATAACTGTTACCACCTGAAAAGTTACTTCCTGCTGTTCTTACTCTTAATCAATGTTTTTGTGAATGGCAACAATATTATATTCACAAAAAGAATGGATAAATAGACTTTTCAATGAGAAGTTCCAACTTGCTCATTTCTTACAATACAACCATTGTCAAACTTGTGGTAAGAAATTACTCAATTGTTTTTTCAAACAGAGTTGACCTGAAGTTTTTCCCCATATTCGTTTTGAGCCTGAACTACGTGGAGTCTGTAGTGCCTCCATCTGGTGAAGACATGTAGCCACATGGACATGGTGGAAGTACCCAAACCTGCTTATGCACTTTAGAAAAAGCAAAACAGTGAGTTGTCACAGGGCTCAATTCTGTTGTTGCAGCCCCCTCCTCAGAACTATTGTTTGGAAATGAACTCAAGAGTCGAGGCGAATGATGAACGACCAGAATCTCATTTATTCAGCTGCCCCCCCTCCAGTCCCTGTTTGTTTTCTTAGCAGCCAAAGGGTGCATCTGGGGCTGAATGGGGAAAAACACACAAGCTTTGTGATTCCGTATAGTCATGTAATGCTCTGAAATGCTCTGAAATGCAGGGGACCACGCTTCTTTGCCGCACGTGTCCCCACCGGGCTCCTTATTAAATCAACCATATAAATATTTGTATTTAAGTCCATCCCCTGACAGTACTTTCCTCAAAGCTTACAGTGGGGGAGCTGTATGTGCCTTATACTGGATTTACAGCTGATTGTATCTTGACTCTCGTGTGCCCTGACCTCTGAGCGTTGTGGTCAGAGAGTTGTTTTCCTAAACAGATGTTGTCACAGCATGATGGTGGCTGCGACACAGATGTGCTTGTCCTGGTTAAAAGGTGGTGGCCCCGGGGTCCAGGGGAGGAATGTGCCGCACTGTGGGCCTGCAGACTTTGTACACTGTGTATATCAGCAGTAAAGGGTTGAGGTTAACGCAGCCAATGGCCAAATGTAAACTGCCACACGTCTTTCTTTTTTATTAAAATTATAATTATAATTATTAAAATGTACAAAAAATAAATAAAGGATTCTACTTTGTTTTTTATCAACACTAAGACCTTCACTTGTGTAGCCCTGTTTGAAAGGCAATAAAAATGTTTCTGCAGCAGATCTTAAATTTTTGGTTCAATAATTTATACTCTGCTTCAGGCAATTGAAAAGCATGATCTTTAATTGTTTGGTTGTTTTTAGTATACTATATGTCACTAGTCAAACAGAAGTTGAGCTTCTCTGTCCCCAGTATCCTAATGTAAATACATGCTATGTGTTTTTACCACTCACACTGCTGTCATGTCTGATGTTCTAATGTTACCTGTGAACCCACTCTGCTATATGCAAACCTAAAACATCTTTAGGCACTGCTGTGATTCCTGCCTTTATGACAAGCTTAAAAATGAATTGTCACAGTGTTGAAACTGTGGTAATAATTGTGAGCAACAAAATAGATAGGGTGGAAGCTACTAGGTTCATAACATAAGATTACTTTCTTTGATGACAAATCAATGATTTGGTTATAGGGGCGATAGTAGCTCAGTTGGTAGAGCATTGGCCTTTGAGTCTGAAAGTCGTGGGTTCGAGCCCACCATGAGACCTTCTCCACCAACTCCTACTGATGACTGCTTTCATTGTGTCCTTGGGCAAGACACTTAACCCCACTTTTCCTGAAGCCCCCGTTAAAAGATCAAGGCTATGCTCTCACAGAGTAGCCAATCTTCTGTGGACTCACCACCTGCAGATTATCAGTGAGGGGTTGGACCCAGAAATGGATTAAGGGGTAGTTAATGGATGGATATGGATGGTTATAAATAATCTGTTACTTTTGCAATTCATTATATTGGAGAACTTTTTCTGAAGATTGCCTCCTCACCAGCACTTTCTTTTCTCCATTTCTTTATTGCACATGACCATATGGTATGGAGCATACAAAACAAAACAGCATCAATAATTTTACCAAACGGAGAATCTTCAAAAATGCCCCAAATCTGGTCTATCATTAATGAAACTTAGGTTCCTAACTATATTTTGTTTTATTTTTGTTGTTTGTCCCAATAGTCTCGTTTGAAGTTTGAAACATTTATCTTTAACTGGCAACTGAATGGCTGAGTGTGGTCTCCTTCTGTGACAAAAAGCTGATCAGAGGCCTAAAAAACGACAGTTAGAACCTATTTGTTTTTAAGAGGAAGGGGCAGGATTTTTTAACCATTGTGCTACCCTGGGATCAAATCAAAATTCTGCATGATTTATAATCACTTGACGGGTCAGTTTGACCTTCTCAAACTAGAAATATTTAATGTTGTTGTTAGATGCACATCTGAATGAGGCCTATTTTGTGGAAACAACGTGTATGAACAATGACAAGTGGATTATATAACTATTTGCATCTGAGCCGCAAATTTTGGCAGATAAACGGCCCTAAACTCGAGGTTACAGAAGCCTTGAGTTTAGAGCAGAGCGTTGGCCCCTCCTCCCTCTCTCCGTGTGACTGGGCCGAGCTATAAGAGGCTTCGGGCATCCACCACAAACATAACGCGTGTTTCACTCGAAGGATTATCCACTCTCAACACTTTTGATACTTTTAAAATGCGCTGCAAAATGAGCTACAGTCTGCCCTGTTCTCCGGGAACTTCTCCCACATATTCCAGAGGACTGATGTCGTACAGGTCCAGATGCGCCAGGTAAAAAGACTAATTATGCGCGTCTCCCCTAACTCTTTCCTACAAGCTTTGTTTTTTTGTTTTTGTTTTTTTTTTTAAATAGAAAAAACAGTATTGCATTTTGAAGTTCAGAAAGCAAAAATTGTTCAAAGCGCGTCTCTTTGACGAAGTTGGGATTAAACCATTGGTAACTTTGCCAAACGGTGCCCGACGGTGACCATTTGACGTTTTGCTTTTTGCGTGATTCACGAGTGGCGTTTTTCGCATGTTTCCACTGGCTGCAGCGGTCAATACATTTTCTCTTCACGCGTGGCTGTTATTTGTGGTTGCAACTATTCTATATGCTGTACATAGATTATGGGGTCTACGTGCGTTTCTGTGCGTATTGGGGGTGGTCTGCGTACGTGCGCACGTGCACGTTTTATTTACACAGGACGCATGAAGCAGCGGAATCTCAGTACCGTGTTGGAACTATAGAGCGAGTGAGTTATCAGTTTCTAATGCAATGCGTGGTTACTATTAGTACATTTTAACCATAGACCTTATACAGTCTATAATTATAACAACGTGCATGGTTAAACTGATGTTTACGCGTCACATATAGTTATTATTATATAAGTTGTACAAATACTTTTCTGTTTTAAACTTTTGCTGTAAATGTAATCAGACATAATCCTTCACACAGTTTAATTAAGGCTCATCTGCACATTATGTTCCCTTTGGCTATAGCCCTCCCACTAGGGGGGCAACAAAAAGGTGTATACATTCTCACTACAGGGTCTCTGTTGTGGATATACATGAGGAGCTTTCAGAGCTTTTCCTTTTTAGATTGAAATGTGTTGCCTTTACTTTGTGCATTGAGTGGGGTAAGTTAGAAATGTGATCTCTACATTCAGTATGTTATCCTCTGGAAACAGCCTCTTATAGCACAGCAGCAGTTATAGGACAATGATGTGACTTTCATGAATCGACTCCCTTTAGTGCCTTGTCAGTGTTGGTATAAAGCAAAGGTCTGGTAAGCTTGGAACAAATTCTTTAGCTCCTGCTGAGGATTATTCAGGTCCGATAGAGGCACCCGTTCCCTATTGTACGAGCTGCATTGAATTTTTACTATATGCAAGTGCTGACGTCACTTTACATGTTACTGTAATCTGTTCTATCAACACAAAATTGTCTAACTGTACGGATGTGTATCAGTTTTTTGCAACTTCCTTCAGGGGATGTTTGTCATTCTTTTGACTGAAAGAAGGATGACATCAGTGTGATCTCAGGAGACATTGTCATCATGTGGTAACTGGTCCTCTTTTTCGCTCTGCAGTGTATCCGGTGTCGGTGTCGTTGCCATTGATAACAAGATTGAGCAAGCTATGGTAAGTTTACAGATCATCCTGACGACAGTTGTGGTCACATTCTTTGCAAGTCTGAACATGAGATTTTTCTACAGCAACCACTTAGTGACACACATCCTTTCTCTTACATAAATCTATTTTCACATAGAGATGACGTACAACTCGATTATGGGATCATTCAGGGACATGGATTTCTTTTATGTGCTTGTTACATGGATAACAAATGACTGTTAGCTTGAGTTAAACATGAGCTTTTTCCCCCTTAGGACCTGGTAAAGAATCACCTCATGTACGCTGTCCGTGAAGAAGTGGAGGTTTTGAAGGAGCAGATAAAGGAGTTGTACGAGAGGAACTCTGTGCTGGAGCGAGAGAATGCAGTGCTCAAGTCTCTGGCCAACTCTGAGCAGTTGAATAAAGTGTCCAATCAGTTGACTCAAGTCAACAGCATCTCTCTACAACAGCTACCGCAACACTCAAATAATGGCGCACCTCACCAGCCCAAAATCACCTCGGCATGACAACCATCTTTCAATGTTCACAAACACAAGGAGGTCAAAATAGACAGTGTCATCCTCTGAAGACTTGGCACTGTGCTTAACTTGCTTCGTCGAGTCTCACTTCTCAATGTGCCTTCTTTTGGCCTCATCAAAGACTGACCCACCATGTGTACGTTGTGTTAGCCCTGTGATGGGTTGAAGCGAGAGGCAGTGGGAGGCAGTGCGCTCCCTACACTGGCGATGCTCCCCGAAAGGTGCTTACATTGGGGGTGGTTATCACCCCTCACAAAGGACAGGGAGGTCCTTCAGCTTGAGCAGAGTGACTTGTGGGCCTTACCTTAAAGGAATAGTTCACCGTTTTTACATACTGACATATGTTCTTACCTTACCTTAGACTAGTTAATACGTACCTGTCTGGTCTTAGTCCGTGCGCTCTGTCATGCAAACGGAGCAAAAACGGGAGCACAAACAAAGCCTCCTCTGTATACTGTGTAGGACCAAAAGGTAGCTCCCGCTAGAAGCTACCAAACTCTTCCAAGTGTTCCCTATTAAATGTATATAGTTACGTGACGTGTTACACTGCAAACAAAGTATAGTAACACAGAAATGTAACAGTCGATTTTCTCAGCGGATAAAACGGGTACTATATTGTGAGGCGTAGTAATCTGAGGAGCGCTACGTCCGCACACTAACTTCTCTCCGTACTACAAGTCACGCTGCTTCTATTGACGGAAGTGAGCGAGAGAGAAGTCTCCGGAGAGAAGTTAGTGCGCGGACGTAGCGCTCCTCAGATTACTACGCCTCACAATATAGTACCCGTTTTATCCGCTGAGAAAATCGACTGTTACATTTCTGTGTTACTATACTTTGTTTGCAGTGTAACACGTCACGTAACTATATACATTTAATAGGGAACACTTGGAAGAGTTTGGTAGCTTCTAGCGGGAGCTACCTTTTGGTCCTACACAGTATACAGAGGAGGCTTTGTTTGTGCTCCCGTTTTTGTTCCGTTTGCATGACAGAGCGCACGGACTAAGACCAGACAGGTACGTATTAACTAGTCTAAGGTAAGGTAAGAACATATGTCAGTATGTAAAAACTGTGAACTATTCCTTTAATTCATGCTGCAACAAAAAACGTGTTGTTCTCAGAACCTTATCATTTTTAGGTATCTTTTATAGTATTTACGTATTTATTTTCAGGGCTGCTATTATGGAAAGGAACAATGTCTTTGAAAAAAAACAAACTTTTCTTCATTCTTTTGTCATCTGTATGTAAGATAATATAACACAAGTCTTTGTGCAAACACTAACACAAGCTGGAATCCTGGTTGAATGTATATTTTGTAAAGTATTAAGATAATTGTATGTATTTCCTTTTTCTAAGAAATTAAATAAGAAATGTGATGGGATACCAAGAGTTGTTAATTTACTTTAACTTTTCATTGATCAAATTAATGGGACTTTCCTGAGGAATGAAAAGCTGTGAAATTGCTCCATCTTTCTACTTAACCAAAGAGCTGTCTAACTATGAATGCACAATCCTTTTCTACTTGTCTCTTTTTGTTGCGGTTTGGTTCGAATCTGGAACAAAGCACTGTCTTACTTTGTGATTTGATCCAGCCCTCTTTATTTTCTTTCATTGTAAGTCTGAAGGATTGTGAGGAGTTATTGAAAGGGATTAAAAGAAAGTTAATTGATGGAATACATGTTCAGATGGTAACAGAGATGTGATTTTGTATTGAAAGCTATATAAAGTAAATACAGATCTTTAACTGCGTATACAAGTATTTATTTACATTATTTACAGCCACACATCTTCATGAAAGTGCTCTGAGATGCACAGTCAACTTGTGACAGGCTGAGGAGGGGAAGTTGAAAAGTAAACCAAAAAGGATGATTATAAAAAACATCTCTCCTGTCTGCAAATCTGTATTTTATAATATTCTTTCATTTGAAGGATACTGTGTACATGATACCAATTGTTCTGTTTGAAAGTGATCACTGAGCCTTGGAGACTTTATCTTAATTCCCTGTAATGTGCTATTCAAAGTTAACTATTAAGTTTCAGTCTTAAAAATAAATTACTATTTTGTTAAAAGAACTTGACTCCTTCGTATTTAATTCTTTGACTCTGTATTCCATTTTTGAAACGGAACAAGCTTCTCACTTGAGTAGGCAGATCCTCAAATTGTAACTTAATTGCACGGTTGGTTTTACGAACTTAACCTCACCTAATGCCAAAGCAGTATATTCTGTGCTTTATTTATACGTTGTTTTATAAGTAATACCAGTGTATCTGGTTTATTGCAACAGTCTGGTTTATTGCAACAGTCTATTGATTTTTAACAACAGAAGTATTAAGGAAATTCTCAATAAAGCCCTGAAGGTTGAAACTGTAAGTAGAGTTGTGTCAAATTACTGAAAGCGGGTTTGTTATGTTTGACAGGTACTTGTTCAAATGATGAAAAGAAAACAAGTTTTTGGTGTCAGATCAGGTTGAGTTTTTGGAGAGTTGCAAAGTGAGACCCAGAGACCCAGATTTAAGATAAGATAAGCTTTATTTATCTCACAGTGGTGAAATTTACATGTCACATTTGGCATGGATAGAACACTCAGATTGTGCAAAAGGAGGAAATGTGCAAACATGTTATATGCAGGATATATATGTACAATAAAAGTGACAATTATGTACAACAAAAGTGACAAGTGTCAATTGGAAACAGTGTCAATAGTAGTGCAGGTTTTCACACAGTGATCATTTAAAGTGACTTATTGTACAGTCTGACAGCGGTGGGGATAAAGGCCCTGCGGTAGCGCTCCTTCCTACACTGAGGGTGTCTCAGTCTTCCACTGAAGGAGCTCCTCAGCTCCTCTACAGTCCTGTGCAGTGGGAGGTATTGTTCATGATGGAGGTGGCTTTGACTAGCACCCTCCTGTCCCTCACCTCCTCCACAGAGTCCAGGGAGCAGCCCAGAGTGGAGCTGGCCCTCCTGACCAGCTTGTTCAGTCTGTTTCTGTCCCGCTCTGTGCTGCCCGGGGCCCAGCACACGGCAGCGTAGTAAATGGCAGAAGCTACCACATAGTCATAAAAAGTCCTGAGCAGAGGCCTGCTCACTCCGAAGGACCTCAGCCTCCTCAGAAGGAAGAGGCGACTTTGGCCCTTCTTGTGCAGGGCGTTTGTATTATGAATTTGTTAGTGTGACATAAGTTGCTTACTGCTGCTGCCATGTGAAGGCACTTTTCATTATACCTGTCACTGTTACAGCATTAAATCTAAGTGGATCATCTAGATTGAGTAATTAGACTAAAGGCATCTGGTAACTATTGAACTTGGATGGCCTTATTTCTTTACTGGTAGTCCAACATGTTTGCCATAAAATATGATGTGACCTCAATGTTTTTGTACTGTAGTTTCTTTATTTGAACTAGGAAAGTAATACTGACAAAAGAGGGTCACTGCTACACGTGAAAACTGGATGAACCAGCACCTTACGTCAACCCTTTGCATATTCTTCCCAGTGATCAGGTTTGTTCCTGTTTCCGCCAGTTATTGGTCTGACTCACCATCATCCAAGTAAGCGTTTTCCTACATTTCCTCCCAAAACTGTCAAGTTACAATGAAATTGCCACAATAGTTACTAGGATGTAAATGTACAATTCTTGTATTAAAATATTACTGCCCCACACCCAGAAATGGATTAAGGGGAAGAAAATGGATGGATATGCTGTCACACTGATGATTTAATACATGTATTTTTATTTAGAAAGAAAACAATGAAATTGGATACAAAACTGAAATAACATTTAGTGATAACTTGGCTAAAACGGACTCATTTATCTCTGAAACAAGATAACAGGTACAGGTGCAGGTAATCACTGGAGATGCGACCATAGGAATATCAATAGATCTTGTAGTCTGGGCAGAGATTTTGTTTTGGCATGATATAATAGATACAGTGCCTTGCAAAAGAATTCGGCCCCCTTGAACCTTTCAACATTTCGCCACATTTCAGGCTTCAAACATAGAGTTTGAACAATCAACAAGTGGGACACAATCGTGAAGTGGAACGCAATTTATTGGTTAATTAAATTTTTTTAAACAAATAAACAAAAGTGGGCCGTGCAATATTATTCGGCCCCCTTGCGCTAATACTTTGTAGCGCCACCTTTTGCTGCAATTACAGCTGCAAGTCGCTTGGGGTATGTCTATCAGTTTTGCACATCGAGAGACTGGAATTCTTGCCCATTCTTCCTTGCAAAACAGCTCGAGCTCAGTGAGGTTGGATGGAGAGCGTTTGAGAACAGCAGTCTTCAGCTCTTTCCACAGATTCTCGATTGGATTCAGGTCTGGACTTTGACTTGGCCATTCTAACACCTGGATACGTCTATTTGTGAATCATTCCATTGTAGATTTGGCGTTATGTTTTGGATCATTGTCCTGTTGGAAGATAAATCTCCGTCCCAGTCTCAGGTCTTTTGCAGACTCCAACAGGTTTTCTTCCAGAATGGTCCTGTATTTGGCTCCATCCATCTTCCCATCAATTTTAGCCATCTTCCCTGTCCCTGCTGAAGAAAAGCAGGCCCTAACCATGATGCTGCCACCACCATGTTTGACAGTGGGGATGGTGTGTTCAGGGTGATGAGCTGTGTTGCTTTTACGCCAAACATATCCTTTTGCATTGTGGCCAAAAAGTTTGATTTTGGTTTCATCTGACCAGAGCACCTTCTTCCACATGTTTGGTGTGTCTCCCAGGTGGCTTGTGGCAAACTTTAAACAAGACTTTTTATGGATATCTTTGAGAAATGGCTTTCTTCTTGCCACTCTTCCATAAAGGCCAGATTTGTGCAGTGCACGACTGATTGTTGTCCTATGGACAGACTCTCCCACCTAAGCTGTAGTTATCTGCAGTTCATCCAGAGTGATCATGGGCCTCTTGGCTGCATCTCTGATCAGTCTTCTCCTTGTTTGAGATGAAAGTTTGGAGGGACGGCCGGGTCTTGGTAGATTTGCAGTGGTCTGATAGTCCTTCCATTTCAATATAATTGCTTGCACAGTGCTCCTTGAGATTTTAAAGCTTGGGAAATCTTTTTGTATCCAAATCCGGCTTTAAACTTCTCCACAACAGTATCTCTGACCTGCCTGGTGTGTTCCTTTGTCTTCATGGTTTTCTCTGCGCTTTAAACAGAACCCTGAGACTATCAAAGAGCAGGCGCATTTATACGGAGACTTGATTACACACAGGTGCATTCTATTTATCATCATCAGTCATTTAGGACAACATTGGATCATTCAAAGATTCTCACTGAACTTCTGGAGTGAGTTTGCTGCACTGAAAGTAAAGGGGCCGAATAATATTGCACGCCCCACTTTTCAGTTTTTTATTTGTTAAAAAAGTTTAAATATTCCAATAAATTTCATTCAACTTCACGATTGTGTCCCACTTGTTGTTGATTCATGACAAAAAATATATATTTTGTATATCTTTATGTTTAAAGCCTGAAATGTGGCGAAAGGTTCAAGGGGGCCGAATACTTTCGCAAGGCACTGTATGGCTGCTATGGATTATAATTACAGTCTATGATAGTAAATACTTACTGAATGGACAGAAAGCGTTGTGTGCCACTGCCATCGTGTGGTTGTAAGTTTTATGCTTCTACGTATTCAACGGGAGGGGGCAGTACAGACACAATCAAATAGAGGCATTATTACCACAACGTGTATTGTGTTGATCAAACGGGCATTGTTACTTATAAACGAAGTTTTACCAGTAAAAATAATCGATATAAACTACTCTCTTAATTCCTTGTATAAAGAAAAATATAAGGAAAATAAGAGGACTCAAATAGTACAAGGATTTTTTCAGACAATGTAACATTTGTATACATACTTATGAGTAAAGATGTTTGTGATAAAGTTAAGTATTGTGAAAGAGCGATAGACCGGATGACAACACCTCCGCCCACTTCACCCGGCCTGTGCTTAGTTTACCAGCACAGAAATGGCGAAAGGTCCTCGCATCATTACTTTGAACTGGGACTATCTGGTTGAAACACACTGAAACTGGCTTCACATCGGGTGTTTTGGCTCCGTGCGGACAACATGGAGCTGGGGGAGGGAGAGGCGGAGGAGCGCAGGTCAGTGGAACTGTCACCGCTGCTAGCATTAGCATTATCGTTAGCATTAGCTCAGATGCACCACAAGTCAGGACTAGCTAATTAAACGCAAACTTTATTTACCATACATTTTAATAAGAGCAGAGGCACATATATGGGGTGTGTTTTACTTTACTTAAATCTAAATAAGCATCTTGGCCGCTCTTGGTGTATGTTCTGTTTCTCAGAGATGGCTTCTAAGCTGAAAGTTTTAGGATGGCGTTAGCCAACTAAGCTTAACATCAGATATTTTTGCTTTTCGGCCTCTGATGGGTGATTGACATTGGTGTTATTTACAAAATATTCATACTTTGTTTTTTCTACCGTAGCATTTTTTTGGGTCAGTTCTAGAGTTAGCATGAGGCTAGGCGAGATAAAGCTAGCATTAGCTGTCAAAGCTTTACCCTGTCCAGCATTCATTTTTATTAAACATCCATTATTCTGACACACCACTCCATTGGCCATATCATAATAATACTAATATCTCTAGTTTACTGCTGTACACATATCAATTACTAACATGTCGTGTTGGCATGATATAGGTTAGGTCTGCTTACACACTGAGCTAGACTTGATTAGTTACTCTTAAGATGTATCCATAACAAAGTGAAACTGCACTTTGATTGAAATTCTTGGCCCTATGAGAACAGGCCAATCCCGAGCCTCATAGAGTATGGGATGAGATTAGATTTGCAAGTGAAAGCGCAGTGGCAGAACTCGTGATTGTCAGCTCAAGCCTCATGAACTGCAAATGGTATTTCTGTGTTTACATCGATGTAACCTCGTATTGAAGGTGTGTCGTGTCTGTAACACCAGATTTGTTTTTCAAATATACTTGGCTGACCTATTTGACTGGTTATCACAAACTGCAATGCCTAAAATGTGTTTTGTTGTTGTTGACATTTGAATTAATACATGACAGGCATATTCTGTGATTCATTTTAAGCACAAAATATGAAATCATTATGTTAAGTAGTATTTTCCTTATTTTCTTTTACTTAATATCTACGTTTTCATGTTAGGCGAGAGCACTGGAAGTTGTTGTCGAGTCTAAAGACAACAGTGGAGGGTCTTGTCTCTACAAATAACCCAAATGTGTGGTCACGCTATGGAGGCCTTCAGCGCTTGCACAAAGACATGAACAACATCCTCAGCCATGGACTGAAGAATGAGCAGGTCAGCCCTGTGCATTACAGAAATTAATTGTCTTACTGCATTGTTTACTAATGCTGAAGTAAATGTTTAAAGAATTATATTTATTAAAAGACAGTTTGAACTCTTGCACACACACGCCTTATTTCTCTTATCTCCTGTCATTGTAGGTCTACTTCAGGCAGAAGGACTACTGGGCTTTTGTATCATGTGTTCGATTCATCTGTCCTGATCTTTCTGCACACGTTGAACAGGTATTTTTCTAACTTGTTTATCTCAATATTTAACTTCAAACAATGCAGATTTTATTGTGTATACGAGTATGGTGGTGCACTAAGCAATTTTTCTTTGAATGTTCCAACCAGTTCCTTCATTTAGAGCCAGAAGTCAACTCTGGAACATCATCCAATAAAAATGAATGCTACAAGGCAGAGCGCTGGCTGCTTCACAGTTTACAGGTTCATAAGTTGTCTGCACAACTCCGACCTCTACTCAGGCATCTAGGTCATGTGCGCAAGTACTATAACAGTAAGTGTAATATTTCTCATTGAGTTGATCAAAATTTTTGGCTTTGTCCTGATAAAAATATCAACCTCTTTCTGCAGATGATGCCTTCCTGCTCAGTGAGCCTCATGTTACTGCCATGTTTCAGTGCCTTGAAGCCGTGGAGCAGAATAATCCTAAACTGTTGGCCCAGATAGAAACTTCGGGGGTATGTTCTGTTAGGACATTGTTTAACATGATTTACTATGCATTAATATTACACAATATTAGCTGTTACATTTGCATTTTAATTTTTTTTTTTATTAATGTATTTTGTCTTCTTTCTGACAGCTCTCTCCTCTGAAGGGCCTGTCTGGCCTGGGCCTGCTGAAGAGCCAGAGTTTGTGTGTACTGCCGGGGTCTGGAGGTGTGTGTAGAAGTGCAGATTTAACCCCAAAAGGAGTCTCTTTAAACCGCAGACTCGCCACCTCCAACTGTTCCCTGCGTGAGACGGATGCAAGCACACTTAACACAAGCCACTCCACAGATATCTGCTCCCAAAACAGAAACGACTCAAGTGAGTTTTAAAGTCCTTCTTTATTGTCCTTTTTTAGTCTCAATTAATTGTTTTAGGATTTCTCACCCATCCTGTTTGTTACATAGGCAACTTGCCTGTTGCAGCAAACTACCCAGGACCTCCATGGGTATGTGTGTCTAGAGTGGGAGAGGCTGAACCAGGGGCACCCTCCATCTCACCAGAGTCCCCGTCTCCACACGAGGCCTGTGACTCTGGTGAAGGCGACTATGACGATGGGCCAGAGTATCTCGCTATTGGTAACCTGGGCCAACGACATCGCAGAGACTCTCGAAGCTCGACCCAAAGTAGTGACCAGGGAGAAAATAAGGAACCAACGACTAAAAACAACCTTTTGGCTCCACCTCCACCAAGACGCTCGTCCTTCTCTGAGGGACAGCGGGGGCCAGGCCGGGGGTCTCGAGGCCACACCCGCTCATTTTCTGATACTGGACTCAATCAAAAACTCAGGAATGGTGAGTACAGATCCCCAGAAGCTACAGACTTGTAACTTGTATATGTTAAACATGTTATTAACTATATCAATTTAGATCAGTGATTTAAAATGTACTTTTCTGGGCTAATGACAACCTTCACTGAGTCTTTGTAAGTGGGTTCTGCTTTTTGGTGTCTTTTGTTTATGCTGTATCTCCTTTCTCTATTTCTCACCGTGCAAAGGAGCAGCTCCACGGAAAATCACCATTATTATAGAAGATCCAGTTGCAGGTTGGCAGTGCAGATCAAATCGGCACTGTGTACTCCATCACATGACCCTTCCCTTTTCTCTGCATGACCTCAATCCCACATATATCATTTGTGATCTTTCCAAAGTTGTCCGTCTCATAATGTTTTCACACATGTTGTTCGGTTGTATTTGAGTCTGTCCGTGTTAAGACATTTAATACCTCTGCCATCATGTTTTGTTTGTTCGTCAGTTGGTTGACAACATAACTCAAGAAGTAATGGGCAATTTTGAATGACATTTAAAAATTATATTTTTTAAGCGTAAGACTGGTGGTGTTTTATATAGGTTATTTACCTCTAATTTACAAGACTGTCCCACTGACAGTTAAAGTAAACAGATACCAGTGATCATTATAGGATTCCAGTGCTTTTACTTGTGGTACGAGAGTGCTCTTTCTCCAATTGCAAAGATCATTTATGTTGACCTAAGTGACGTTGTGGCTGTGGAAACATCCTTATTTTGTTAATTTTATGTTATTGTTATTATTATTATTATTATTTTGCACAGTATTTATAGCCATCATTCAAGCATCTATTATTCTATATTTTACTCCTAGGTAGGAACCTGTGGCCATGGATATGTTATCATTGTGTTTTGTATTTTCTTCTCCAGAATCATCAGGAAATGATCACGTGAAGGAGTATAATCCATTTTCACCACAGCACAGTAATTCTAGTTCTTCTAATTCTCTGTATATGGACTCAGGTAAGTTTATCCCAAACATTGAATAGGTTTTCTTATTCTTTAATTAAAAAGGTTTTTGTTGTCTCAGATTCGTCCCAAAGCAGAAGTGTTTCTGATGGGATGTTCAGGAAGCCATCAAAGGGACAGAGTCTTATCAGTTATCTTTCTGAGCAGGACTATGGCAGCTGTGCTGACCTTGAAAAGGTACACTCATGATTTACTTTTTTTGAAATGCAATTTAAATACAATGTGAAAAATGAGTCTTTTATATTCTGTTTTTGTTTTTTTCAGGAGAACGCTCATTTTAGTATTTCAGAATCACTTATTGCAGCCATTGAATTAATGAAATATAACCTGCGGCGTCAGGAGGAGGGGGCTGAGGAGGAAGGGGACAGTGACAGTGAGATTCAGCAGCTAAAACAAAAGATTCGTCTCCGGAGACAACAGATCCGCCGCAGCCGCCTCCCGCCCTGCTCAGCTTCCAGCCACAGTGAGTCTCTGTTTGAACTATAGCTTTTCGGTCTCATCTGTTCTCATTTCCAAATTTTTTCCTGCCAGATTTGCACTCTACAGACAGTGGCACTTCCAGACAAAGCTCCCAAGATTCTTTACAAGGTTTTTCTGATTCTGGCTCAGCAGAGGAAGTGGAAGAATGTGAATTACGAGGTAAATGAATCAATGTTCTAAATCTATCAAATCACACCCATCCAGTCTTATCCCATTTCATATTGGATCATTAGAGCTTAATCATTAATTAGCATGTGACTCTTCCTGCTCACTGTCTTAATGGGCATATTTGTGAGGAAGTGTGGTGTTGTCTGCTTATCTTTGCTGGGAAAACTGCTTATTGTACTTTATGTAAACTAACAGCTAAGGTCATCACCAGATATGTTGCTTTGATATGACTTGTGTATGAGTTTAGTGCTTATTGGCTCAGGTATCTCCCTGTAGATGCCTTAATGCAGGATGTGGGGGCACATTTGTAATGCGCACATTGGTGAAGAATGTTTTAACTGTGGCTGCTTGTGGTGATGAGTGCTGAGTGTTTCTGTCTCTCAGATGGCTGTGAGGGGCAATCCCTGCTGGCAGTGTCACAGAACGGCCTCTCGTTGTCACTCGCCTCCCTCTTCTCAGGTATCAGACAGACAAGTGTTGGAGAGGCTCCTAGTCCAGTGCTGTTTAGAGGACCTTAGAACTCTGTTAAAACTGAAACTTTCTTCCCTGAAACACTTATATTATGTATTTGGGTCTATATTAATCTCTTATTTGAGTAATTGAAGAAAAATGCATGTTTAATTAAATGTATAAAAAGTATACCCAGCATGCAAATGGTATTGGATTCTTATTGGCATTGTAAATCCAACAAGTAATATTTTAGGAGGCATGATTGGAACAGAGCCGGGCTCCTCCTGATTTCTTCAAAAAATGCAAAAGTTTGCCTGGAGTGCCACTGCTAGTTGCCCAGTGCTCCAGGGACGAGAGTGGTTATGCTTGTCCAGGGAGACTAGTGTCCATGGGGTCTCATTCATTATCATCCATTTTCCATGCATCTTTCCCTATCAAACTTACATTATATGTCATCTGTATTTGTACTTTTAATTGACTGCAATGAAACGTATATGAAAGTAGAGACATAAGGCCAAATACAGTTATGGTATACAATGTAGCTGTCGGACTGAATTACATGAGTAATTTGGGGAATTCCCTTCTCTCTTCTTTCTTCTAAGTAACCAATAAATCTATGTAGATCTAATAATGTAATTCTTATAATAAAAAGTAGTTGTTTATTTGTAATGTTCATGTACTTCAATATTTTAACTATGATCCTCAGATGCAGACATAAAGCGAAGTGTAAGCTCCGGCCACAGATCCTTTCTCAGTTCAGATTCCATGTAAGTTGTCAATACTTACTCTAGAGTTGTGTATTGTGGTTGTGTTGCCAGATAACTGTAAACTGTGCAGGGATTTGAGAGGTAAGAATTAAGTGATTTTCACTTTTGGGGAATTGCATGTTCATATACAGCTGAATCCACCCAAAATCACATGAAGTAGTCTTCGGAGTCCAGTGAAGTACAACATGCAAATCCATTCATTCAAATACTGTAATGAGGCGTGATACATGAGTTATTCCTGTTTTGTGTACTCAGTGCTTGTTCTGTCAGTGCCGTGTATTATTGCCATCCACTCTCCTCCTGAACTAAAGATGTGGAAACTTAATGAGCCTGCAGTTAGCAAGAAACACTTGTGTAGAGAAACACAGGCGGGCAGTATTGATAAGGCTTTTTAATGTCTGTGTTATTTATTTGCCTACATTCAAATTGATATTCAAATATTTTTCAAAAATGTGGGTCAATTTTGAGAAAGTGTATTAGGAATTGACTGGAACCTTCTTCTGTTTGCATCTACAGCAGCTCCCCCTCCTTCCTTCAGTCCAACTCTGCAGAGTCTGTAGCTATGGGTTTGCTCCGGCAGTTTGAAGGCATGCAGCTTCCTGCCGCTTCTGAACTTGACTGGCTGGTCCCAGAACAAGATGCACCTCAGAAGGTCAATAAACATTAATACTTTGATTGTTCAACTTTCAAATTTGTAATGATCCGTGAAGGGTGGAACATAGTATCTTGGTTTAACCTAGATTTTCAGTGGTCTACTCGTTATAAAAATCATTCAGATTAAAATATTCACAAGCTCAAGAGTTATTTTAGATATGAGTGAGTTGTGTCATCAGTCTTTGAACAGAACATTTAATATGTGACCTTCTGTACCCTAATGACTAGTACATTCCTAATCAAAGCAAAACACTCTAATGTATCATTTGACAAAATCACTGAACATGGTCGACTTTCACAGCTCTTGCCCATTCCCGACTCTCTGCCCATTTCCCCCGACGACGGTGAACACGCTGATATTTACAAACTCAGAATTCGTGTTCGAGGCAACTTGGAATGGGCGCCTCCTCGCCCACAAATCATTTTCAACATCCACCCTACCCCAAAGTCAGTAAACATTTTCTGCCTTTGCATATTTTAGAGAATGTAAACAATTTTTTTTAACTCTGTCATTTGATCAACGACCTGCCAGAAGAAAGATTGTAATAGCAAAACAGAACTACCGCTGTGCTGGCTGTGGCATTCGAGTTGACCCAGGTAGGACAGTTTTGTCTTACAGCTCCTAGAATAATCACACAAAAATGGTCAAACTAAATACAGTGTTGGTCCTCAGACTACATCAAGCGACTGCGCTACTGCGAATATTTGGGTCGCTACTTCTGCCAGTGTTGTCATGAAAATGCACAGGCAATTGTACCCGGTCGCGTTTTGAGGAAATGGGACTTCAGCAAGTATTATGTCAGCAACTTTGCCCGGGACCTTCTCGGCAAGATTGCTGGGGATCCTTTGTTCAACCCTAATGATATAAACACTGGGCTGTACAAGAAGATCAAGGCTCTGGAGTCTGTCAGGGTGAGATGGCCAACTCTTGCATGTCATGGCATCCCAGCAAAGTTACATCACTCACACTAGATTATTGTTTTGTATTGTTTCAGGTTTTAAGGGTCCAGCTGTTGCACATGAAAAACCTCTTCAAGACTTGTCGCTTTGCCAAAGAGTATGTTTTTTGTTATTGTTACCTTTTTTCTTATGTGTAGTCGGCCATTCTGTGCCCTGACAAAAAGTCGCTGGACAGCTTGAACTTTTACACATTTTGTCACGTAATTTAAGATTACTGAAACACTGTAAGAAAGTAATCTTTATTTATATACCACCTTTCACAGGGTTGCCAGTACTGTAAAGGAAAAGCAAAATGATAAAACTCATAAGTGACGGACAGCATGTATCTAAGCGATATCCTTGAAACATTTTGTGATATCTACTTTGGTGTGTAATCTTCTCTCAGTATAATTAAAGGCAGTTATGTGATTGCCTCAAGCTATTGGTCACTAAACAACCTCAATGAAGTCCAAGGATCTCACCAGAAAGTTCAAGGATGAAGTTTAAAGCATGGTTAGGTTATACAAACCTTTCCCATGTTTTTTAATATCTGAGATTAATCCCTCTGGGAATGGAAAGAGTAAGGCACAACTGCAAATCTTCCAAGACTCAAAGCTTGGACAGGACAACACTTAGAGATGCAGACATGAGTCCAATGTATATTCTTGGGTTTCATATGACGTCAAGGCAGTGGCGCGAATAGAGAAAGATAAGAGTTTCCTCCGTGTTCCAACTGTGGTCTCATATAAAGGAATACACTTCACTCGAATGAGGCGGGCGAGGTGGATCAAGGCTTTCCCAAATAAGTTCCCCCTGCAGGCCACCCAAATGAAACGCAGCATTTTCTGTTTATTTTTTCAAAAATGCCGGAAATCAAGAAATATTTTTTAGCACTCTCTTAGAATGAAGTGTCCCCCTCCCGATTTAAGACTGTTACAACAACCGTACACTGCACAGGATGAGAGCCTTTTGACTCAAAAACAGACACGATTTACATTGTGTAAATCGTGTCTGTTTTTGTGTAATCTAAAACCAGTCCACTTTTCTGCTCATTCGCCCTCATTCGCCAATTTAATGAAACCCAAGATTTCTGGAAGAGCCGCAGACATCCACACCTCACTTGGGGGAGTCTGTACATGGGGCAATATTCAACAGTTGTTTATTACACATATCTGGCTTTCATTGGCTTTTATGGCCAGTGTTGGAGTAAAGTTGCTTGACGCAAAGTGGCCAAAGATTCTGTTGTCAGATAAAATTTTACCCGTTGGCCTAAATCCAAAATGTTATGTATGTCTCAAACACTGCACATCTCCCTCAGTGCCCCACAGTATCAAATATGGGTTTAAGGGACTGCTTTTCTTCTGCTGGAACAGGGAAGAGTTAATGGAAAGGTGTATGGAGCAAAATACAGGACATTTTAGGAAGAAAAGCTGCGGGAGCTTGGGATTCCACGTTGTATACTGTGTGTTCATAAGTGACTGTGTGGTCACTTATGAAAGCTCAACTTTTTAGTTTGGATGATTTTAGTTTGTCTTTTTTTTTAAACAATGTATGAAATATTTGTTTGGTCGCAACATAACAAAATGTGCAAAAGTTCAAGCTGTCTAGAGACTTGCGCAAGGCTCCTGCTGTGGGCCATGTTACCAAACATAATCTTTTGTGTTTGTTGCTTTTTAGGGATTTGGATCAGTTTGACACGCTGCCCGGTCACCTCACAGAAGACCATCACCTCTTTTCCCTCAATGACCTCACAGCTGTTCGTAATGGGGAGCTGGCCCCACGAATGAAAGAACTGCTCAAACTCGGAACTAGACACGTCACTGGCTGCGTGGTAAGTGGATGTTTACAGCTTTGGCTGTTTTTAATCATCACACATTTTTACAAGCTTAGGTAATCTTGTTGATGTATATTTTTAATAAATACATTATAGATCTATATATGTAATTAAAGTGGCACTAATGTGATCTGTCCTCTTTTTTTTCTCCATATGTGAATTGCTTTGTCCCCATAATATTGTATCAAACTCATGGAGACGAGCCGGTCTTTGGATCAAGTTACAGATTAGATTATGTGCCTGTGGACAAGCACAAGCACATTGTGATTGAATCAGCAAAAGTAGGCGGTAAGATTAGATACCGGCTTGTCAACTTCTGATTTCGTCAAATCTCAAAGGCGAAGGACTGCAAGCCTTTCAGTGTCTTTGAGAATACCAAGTGCCCCTTTGGCATGTTGTAAAGTATGAATGTGACTTTGGATTTAGGTGAGGGTTTAATATTATTAGTGACTTTCTCAGCAGAGAATGAAGCCTATTGCTTAATGTTGTATGTAGCATGGATCTGTTATAAGTTATATGCATACTGCTACATGATATTTAGTGTTTTATTTGTATATTTTAGAAGTGGCTACTGTTAATGTTGACCTGACCAAACTGAATTTTTTTTATTTGCAAATGAATACTTTTCCAAATAACTAACTTTAAACAAAAGTTTAGCTGACCCAGTTGAGAATCACTAAAACAAGTCCACTTTTCGCTCTGAACGCAGGATTCGTACTTTAGACCATTTAGTTAATGTTTACTGCAAACTTATATTCCGTTTTATATCTATTTCCTTCTGTTTGTCCCCAGCTGTGCCAGGCCAAGGGCTTTGTGTGCGAGTTTTGTGGCAACGAGAAGGACATCATCTTCCCCTTCCAGCTCAGCAAATGCCAGCGCTGCGAAGGTGAGCCCTCTCTCCCGGTGTCCGGCCTCGCTGGTCTCAGAACCCAGTCCTCGCGTCCCACTCTCACGTTTACCTGGGATGACCTGAAGATTGTAAAACCTCGTAGGCTCGCACGCGTCCTCTCTCTGGACAAGAAGCTAGGCGAGGGAGGGGAGGAGTTTGAGCATAGCCTTAATGCAGAGACCAACACTGAGAGGCGGCTTGTTGGAGAGAATGAAGACTCGGACACACACGTGGTCAATGAGGAGAAGGAAAGTGTATTGAATGTTTTTAGTGCTAATAAATTGATTAAAGCTTTATCAAAGAATAAATTGAGCGAATCTGAGACCGAAAAGGATGTGGAGAAGGATGAGGACAAAAAATGTAATAGAAAAGAAAAACGTCTGTTCAGAGCCCTTCAAATAGGAAAGTTTAAAAAGACCTTTTCTAAAAGCGAAGAAAACGAAAGCACAATGAGTGAATGCAGCAGCGCCGAGAATTTGGATCAAGTGGCAAGAGCGAAGAAGAAGTTGCTGTGGAAGATCCCAAACCTAGTCAAAGGCTTTTCAAAAACTGAAACCGAGGCCGAATCTGAAAAGACAGTCGAACAGGAGCAGGATAGATGTGACATTGATTTATATTCATCCAAACCCGAGGATGAATCCGGGTCAGTTACAGCGGGTACAAAAGAGGAAAATCCGGCGTTTGTGACCAGGACAAATTGGAGATCGCACCGGACGCGCAAGGCCAGGCGTCAGAGGCAAGAAGATCACGCCAGAGTCTGAGGGGTAATGTGCGGAGAACGAGCTGCAGCAACGCACTGACGCACGCTCCCAAACAGTGGCAGGAGACTGAAACATACTGTGTCATTTCTGTCATTTCATTTCATTGTCTTTGTTTGCTACATTTCAAATGATCTCATCGTCATTTTTTCACTTCAGCTGTTCTTGTGAAATGTTTTTCTTCGCACAGGGTTTGCTTGCACAGCTGTTAGGCTTGTGGCACGATGATGTCTTTTAAGGCAAAGTTCCTTGACATTTCAGTTTCTCTCAATAACGATGCATTTTATTTAGTTTATCTGGAAAAAGTAAAATGTTGTTAAAGAATCAAACCATAACATGCTGTCTTCATCTTATTAGAAAACATTATCTTTTGCATTCTTGTAAGAAAGACACTCTGAGAGCTGATTGGCTGAGTGACGGTGGTCCTCATTTTTTCACTTTTCTGTTTGAAAAAGCTGTGACAGGGGCCAATAATACATATATACGTGACAACTAGTTATAGAAGAAAACTATTTTGGAGCTATGAATGAGCTATGAATCCATGAGTTACATGGATTTTATTATAGTTTTCATGGATTTTTTTTTTTTTCATGTATTTTTCAATTGAAACCTTTGAGATTTATTTAAGGATATTTAATAAACATGTTTTAAATTGTCATTTCCTTTGTTTGTTGAAATGTAGTTGTTTGATTAGATCAGTGTCTCCCAAAGTGGGGTCCGCGGCCCCCTGGTGGGCCGCGAGGGTACTGCAGGGGGGCCGCGGGAGGTCATAAAAAAAAAATAATAATAATATAATTATTTTATGTTAAATTTATAATGTTTTGTTTGTAATATTAAAATATTTGTGTTCATTATTTGACTTGAATAAGCCACTGTAATCATTTTTGTATTACAATGTTTGTAGCAGAGGCTATTTCCCCAAAATAAAATAACCAGAAGAGCCTATTCTTAATGTTGTCTTCTTGGTTATTATTTTGGGGGGCCACGCAGACCCGTCAGATTTTTAAGGGGGCCTCGGTGTTACTGAGTTTGGGAATGGCTGGATTAGATAATTAGTTTACAAATGGCTCGTTGAAGCGACTCCATGGTCTGCCTTTGGCCTCCTTCTCTCCGCTCCTGTTGTCTCTCAACATGTCCCTGCTTTTATACTCCCGGCCTGTGCACCTCGCCTCTCTTCTCTGATTGGTTACTTCGGAGAAACCTGTGGAACTGGTTTATTATGTTTGTCCGGGTGTTGGCTGCGTTCTTGTTTGAAACGGGCACACGCTTGTTTGTCACACGCTTTGTATTTCTGGACACAAACGCAGTATTGTTTTCTTGTTTTTCAGAGTGCCACGCGTGCTACCACCGCAACTGCTTCAAGCCGGGTAAAGCATGTCCTCGCTGTCAGCGCCTTGCGGAGAGGAGGGAGCGAATGGCACGCAAGAACATGGAGGAGCAAGAAGACGAAGGAGGCGGGACTTAAGGCTGAGGCAGTGGAAAGCCTCAAAGAATAAAGCCACACAAACTTGACTAAGTGATTGTAGTTACTGAAGACCTCAGACATGCCCACTGCTGATTTTGATTTGTGTTGTTTGTCAGCCTCTTTGCACACTTAAGCTCTTAACCAATACAGTAGATCTGTGGCTTATTAATTTAAACATGTAACCAATAACAATGATCAAAAAGGCCACAGTTGTACACTTCATAGTACCACATGAAGTATTGTTTAATTGTAAAGAACGGGCCAAAGATGTGAGCTGGTATTAGTCTCTATTTTCAAAGACTGTTTTTAGGATGTTTTAAGAAGAATTCTAGATTAATTTTTAATTAAAGGCTCGCTATGTAATTTTAAGACGGCTTTGCCTGAAATGTTTTGAGTAATGGCATCAAACTGATTTGCCACCAGGACAAGTTCCAGATTTACCAGCATCAAAGTTACATTTTACTTAAAGCTGCATTTTGAGTAGCGTTATTCGTAGTATTTTCATTCAACATGGGCTAAAAAAATGTGGATCTATTTCAAAGAGTTTTATTGTTCATTTAAATTAATTGACACGTGTGCATTGATTTTAATTTTGCATATGACTTTTAGGAACTGGGACCAATAAACTTGAATTGAGGCGCTGTGAGCGGTTGCACAAAATGTTGCATAAAAAGTTGCTTGGATGTGAGATGGCAACATATCTGCTTCATCAGCACGCACTTTTGGGAAGTCAATTGCACTGGAAATGCAAAAAAAAAAAAAAAAATGCACACATTGTTATTAGAAATGTTAAACATAAAATCCACTTGACGACGATGATTTGATCAGAACTTTTTGGCTCATTATTGTTTTGTTTCTATCAGCAGTTGCCATCTGACTGCCTTAAATCATATATTGTTTGGAATTGGTTTAAAAGTGCAATAATGATTAAATCGTGTTTGTTTGATTTTGTTTTGTGAACAATATGATGTAAATCTAATAAATTATTGGCAAGACTGTTATTACGTTTTTGCTTTGATTTCACTGTTCAGTATTTTAAAGTGAGTGGAAAAGGTGATTTACAAGAAAACGGGATACGTTGCATGAAAAAAGTTGCAGAGCAACTCTTTTTAATGTGACATCATTCCTCACTTCCTCATAACATGCAGCAAATTAACTATTTTGTTCAGTGATGTTCTGATATAGCCTGGCCTTTGCCATCCGTAAACTCCGGTCAAATCTTTTTTACCCTCTGTACGAAACAAGTACGAGGGTATGGTAAAACCAGGCTAGTTCTGATAAGGCCCACAGTTTCAGCCACCTGTGCCAGACTCTACAACTTAACTCTACATCGCCATCTAGAGGGCAAGAAATCAAATCAATTTCCATTACAGCACCGCATTGATACGACCACCACGAAGCACAGTATTGGAAAGGAATGTGCTCGTATATTAAAAGATGATTTAAAAAACATCATTTTTTTAAGTTCCTCCAAAGTGGCTGGACTGAGGCAGTTTCATAGTTTTTATTTATGCTGCTTTAGCAAGCATAAAGCACAAGCACAAGCACAAACGGGTTTATACCATGGATCTATGAGCCTCTGTAATAGGGAATGCCTCCATTGTGAATTGGTAAAATCTTCTAAAAGTCACCAGTTTTATTACAAGTAATTGATATGTGCTAAAACTGTTGAAGATAACTAAAATACAGCAAAAACCGTTGAAAACGCTAACGGCTGCAAGGAAACAATGTGTTGCTATGGTAACTTCTTGCTCTGGGAGTTAAAGATAGAGACAAAAAGATAATTGAATAAAAATAATGACATGAAATAAACTACATATAGATACAGAAAAGTTACAAAGTTATGAAGACCAAAAATGTACATGGCTGAATAATTACCTTTCCAAAACTAAAAGCCATCAAATTGACTGCTCTGGGAGTTCTCGTGTTAACCCACCGCTTTAGAAAAGTTGAAGCACAATAAAGATTGAGACAGGAGCAAAGACATAATAATGTGTTTGTTGTCATTAGGAGAGAGGTCTAGTCCTGGCTGATCCAGATGCACCACATGCAGATGATGACCATGGCGTAGCAGGAGATGAGCAGCAGGTAGATGCGGAAGAGGAGGTAATCCAGCACGTACCCCACGTGACACCACCGGTCCTGAAGCTCGCCCTCCCGCTGCAGAGAGTGAAGATGAGAACGTAGATCCCCCACATACTGACAGATCTGCTGCAGCTCCGGCGGCGACGACAGCCCTGCACAAGCACACACTAACTACACTTTCCATTTACACGTGGACCTATTAACTGGGGACACATATAAAAGTCGTAGCTGTCCTTTAAAATGAAAATATTACATACTGCCCCTAATTTTCATGATTTTAAAGTCAAATCAAAGTATATTCATGTAATTTAGCAGGTCAAAATATTTTAATTTTGTTCTGTTACAATGGATAAGTTTTGACTCTTTTTATGACACGTTTCTAGATGACCCTACAACCAGGAACTAAAATATAAATAAAAGAATATTTCCAAATGGGATGACGGTTGAAATCATGGGATGGAATTTGTAAAAACAAATTTTACATATAATAAAGATTCTTGACTGTGTCTTTAAGCTGTTCTGTCACCTTACCTGCATAGGCGCCTGGGTGTGTTGCAGGAACATTGTTTTCTGTTTGGGTTTCTGATGGGATCGAAGTGAGATTAAGATTATTGGGTTTATCTTCTTCTTTTGCTGGAGGAGCAACATCTTGTGGCCAGCGGTAACAGATGAGGCGAGCGATGTGTTTCAGCACCACTGTTTCCACCCACTTTGGCACCTCCTTGTATTTCATGTTGTTGTGGTGGAGAACGTTGGTGATGATGACCGTTTCCAGCAGACTGATGACCATCAGGGCCAGACAAACAGAGAAGTAGATACCTGGGGTTCAAGGAAATAAGGTTTTGGTCAGATTCTGTACGTGTACTTACTTATTTCTTGGATACCTGTAGTGTACAGTATGTGTACTCTACTTTAAACACAAAGATCTGTACTTTTAATCCTCACATTAAAAACAGATCACAAAGCTACAAAGCTCTTTGTCACCTCACCTCAACATCAATACAGTTCTGAAGTGGCTAGCCATGCTTCTAAGTTGACTATATTTATGGTGCCTCATCTCTGGTTTGGGTTTTTCTGTGCTATGAGCAAATACTTTTAATATTTTTTTGTCATTTTGGGGTGTACAATGGTGTTTTCAAGTATTTCACAGAAAACAAATGTTTACTATTATTAAGGGAAAATAATTATACTTTTGATATACTTCACAGATACCTTCAAAAGGTGGTTGTTTACTACAATTATTCAATACCTTCAGAGTTGTTTGAGTGTATATAAAATTACATATAATTACTTAAAGCTGGGGTACACGTTACTTTTTCATAGAACTTACATTTAGTTCGTCTTGTAAAAGTTAAATGTAGCGATCTTGGAAAACATATTTTTGCATTCTTGTGAGAAAGCTCTGTGACGAGTGCTGATTGGCTGAGTGAAGGCAGTCCTCTCTTTTTTACTTTTCTTTCTGAAAAAGCTGATCTAAAGATGAGTGTGAAAACTTGTGTTATTACCAAACAAACTATTTCAAGAGTGAGGAACTATTTGCCATCTGTGAAGGGCTGGTGTATTGTGACTTGGGTGGCATCTCTAATTGCCACCCCGCCTCACCCAGAAATGGATTAAGGGGTAGAAAATGGATGGATGGAACTATTTAAATGGATTTTAATACTTACTTACATTTTTGGTGGTTTGAAAGTTAGGTACCCCAGCTTTAATACTAATATGTTTGCCTCCTGTATTCCAGTTGTTTCTGACCTATAATGGGCGTGCCATTGGCCGTACTGGGCAGCAGGTCGTTCATAATGAGGAGGAAGACAGTGTAGCCCAAGATGAGGGTCATCTTAAAGGAGGCGCGGTCCACACTGTGCGGAGGAAGGTAAAAGGACAGGATGTCGATGATCATGAGGAAGGAGCTGGGGATCAGGAGGTTCACCACATACAGGACCGGACGGCGCTTGATGACCACCTGAAGCAGCAATGCAAGAAGTTATCATTTATTTATTTTAAATACGATTATTTTTTTAATCATAGGCCTCTACAGAATGATTGAAGTGTCTAAAACCATGTGGATGAGATGCCCCATGAGGTAGATTTCAGTTTCAAGCTTCAAGTAGATATAGTGGCTCAAAAAGTGATCCACCAGATTTTTGAGCAAACTGTTAAAGGGTTAATGAACACATTACTCCGGACTAATTTGCTAGTTTGCACCCTAAACTATTGTACATGTTTTTAGGGTTTGGGAAAACCGGAGCACCTGGAGGAAACCTCCGAAGACACAGGAGAGAACATGCAAGCTCCACACTGAAAAGCCTTGAGGTGGAAACAAACATAAATAATCACAACATTAAAAAGAAAAAGAAAAATATAAAATCCCTCAGTTGTATGCACAGCTAAACAAAAAAGTTTTTTACCTGGATTTAAACATTGTCAGAGAAAAGGCCTGTCTCATATTTTCAGGAAGATTGTTCCACTTCTTGCTGTGGTTAACCGCTGCGCCACCACATACCTACTTTTCATGTGTTATTAGTATGGGTTTCACAAAAAATGAGGCACCCCAATTTTAAGTTCAGAGATATTCTGAATGACTTACTCTGAGACAGTCATGCATACATTACACACCTGTACCTATCCACTGTCCCTTTGTCATTTGAAAAAGTCCATGCAAACACAGAGCCGCACCCAGAATGTGATGATGTCCCACTCGTCGATGCCAAACTGCAGGATGGAGGTCTCTCCCAGGATGTCCACCAGCTCCCACTCCCCACTGGCCTCCAGGTAACGCTTGGAGTTTACCGACATCTCCTCAAACGTGAGAGCAGGACTGACTCGCACGTCTCGAACTGTGGAAAAGCAAAAGCATGAAAAACTGGAGACACTTTTGCACAAGTGGACAAAGTCAGGCCAAAGAAACTCACTGGTGTGCATGTAAGAGCCAAAAGTGAAGGTGCAATTCTGAATGTCAAAAGGAAAACTGAAGATCTCCAGGTTACAGGCTGAGACCAGACGAAGCATCCTGTCCCAGCGGATGTGTCCCGTGTGGTTGACGTAGACAAAAGGACAGGCCTGGGACACATCGTCGTCCACACTGTAAACGATTGAGTTGGAATGAAATAAGAACAGGACAGAAGGTATAGTATATTGAAAGTGTATTAAAAACATACACTTTTCCTATCTCTCAAACTAAATTATCACTTGCATGATTTAATTACACTCTGTTTCAGCTTCAGATTTGCTTTTGTGGCTGAAAAAGTGAAGTAAGTGAGTCATCTTTACTTATGTAGTGCTTTTCACAGAAAGAGCCACAAAGCGTTTCTTTTTTCTTATTTCTTTCACTTCACACATAGGACTGGAGGTGAATGCCGGAGATATTTTACAATTTTTTAATGGTAGGGGAAACCGGAGCACCTGGAGGAAACCTCAGAATCAACTCTCAGCCCAAAGAGCTACATATTAGACATATCTCAGCAAACAGAAAAAAAAGTGTTCTAATGAGATGAACTATAAAGCCTGATTTTTCTTTTCCTTTACAAGACTCTTTCTGTGTGGATAAATGACAAGTGTTAGATATCTCAGCCTTAGATTCATGTGAGTAGTTTTAAAGAGACAGAACATACAGTGCATGTGTAAACACAGATCAGTCACTAACAATTCATAGACGATGATGTCTGGAGACCACAGCTGCTTCACGGGGAGAGATATTCTGGTAACGCCATCACACTCATCCGGATCCCAAATGAGGAACTCATGGTGCCAGTACTGTCATGGAAGGATCAGTGTAAAATTGCAATAGATTTTACTTCTAGTTACTGGAATAGAAACAATAAAAAACAACAAAAATAGTATGACTTTTTTTTAAACTAATGTTTCCGAGTAACATTACTTAGCTTACTTAGTTTTATTTCAAATACTTCTGTTTCAGGAGCACAAAAGAAATTACAGTATATTAACCATAGTGATCATCTTTTTGTCAAATTAAGTGTAAACAGTGAGAAAACAAAGCAAATAGGCAACACTTGTATGAATGACTGTCACTGATCCTTATAAACAGCACTGAATAACGATACAAAAGGGAATATATTACCGTAGCAAGAATGAGTCACCGCAATTAGAAATAAGTTATGCGTTATCTTCTTTTTTGCAGTGTAGTGGTTTAACTTGAATAATCGTTAAATTGTGACATTCCTATTTCACTTTTTAAAATTGTGCTTACCAATCGAAGCCAGAGAAAAGTGGTGAGAATCTGTGCCTTCTCGTTCTGCAAAAGAGACACACTGCATTAGAAAACCTCAGTCCTGGTTAAATACACACTAGTCCTGGTTAAATACACACTAGTCCTGGTTAAATACACACTAGTCCTGGTTAAATTCACACTAGTCCTGGTTAAATACACACAAGTCCTGGTTAATTACGCACAAGTCCTGGTTAAATTCACACTAGTCCTGGTTAAATACACACTAGTCCTGGTTAAATACACACTAGTCCTGGTTAAATACGCACAAGTCCTGGTTAAATACACACTAGTCCTGGTTAAATACACACACTAGTCCTGGTTAATTACGCACAAGTCCTGGTTAAATTCACACTAGTCCTGGTTAAATACATACAAGTCCTGGTTAAATACACACAAGTCCTGGTTAAATACACACTAGTCCTGGTTAAATACACACTAGTCCTGGTTAAATACACACAAGTCCTGGTTAAATACACACAAGTCCTGGTTAAATACACACTAGTCCTGGTTAAATACACACTAGTCCTGGTTAAATACACACTAGTCCTGGTTAAATTCACACTAGTCCTGGTTAAATACACACAAGTCCTGGTTAAATACACACTAGTCCTGGTTAAATACAGATTAGTCCTGGTTAAATACACACTAGTCCCGGTTAAATACACACTAGTCCTGGTTAAATACAGATTAGTCCTGGTTAATTACACACTAGTCTCGGTTAAATACACACTAGTCCTGGTTAAATACACACAAGTCCTGGTTAAATACACACAAGTCCTGGTTAAATACACACAAGTCCTGGTTAAATACACACAAGTCCTGGTTAAATACACACAAGTCCTGGTTAAATACACACAAGTCCTGGTTAAATACACACTAGTCCTGGTTAAATACACACTAGTCCTGGTTAAATACACACTAGTCCTGGTTAAATACACAATAGTCCTGGTTAAATACACACAAGTCCTGGTTAAATACACACTAGTCCTGGTTAAATACACACTAGTCCTGGTTAAATAAACACTAGTCCTGGTTAAATACACACTAGTCCTGGTTAAATACACACAAGTCCTGGTTAAATACACACTAGTCCTGGTTAAATACACACTAGTCCTGGTTAAATACACACAAGTCCTGGTTAAATACACACTAGTCCTGGTTAAATACACACAAGTTCTGGTTAAATACACACTAGTCTTGGTTAATTACACACAAGTCCTGGTTAATTACATACTAGTCCTGGTTAAATACACACAAGTCCTGGTTAAATACACACAAGTTCTGGTTAAATACACACTAGTCTTGGTTAATTACACACAAGTCCTGGTTAATTACATACTAGTCCTGGTTAAATACACACAAGTACTGGTTAAATAGACACTGGTACTGATTAAATACAGATTAGTCCTGGTTAAATACACACTAGTCTCGGTTAAATACACACTAGTCCTGGTTAAAGACAGATTAGTCCTGGTTAAATACACACTAGTCTCGGTTAAATACACACTAGTCCTGGTTAAAGACAGATTAGTCCACAAAAAAAATATGGAGATGAGGAATTAGTTCACTGGCACCACAAGATTTTGGGCAAAATCTACCCTTCGTCATGTTTAAATACACAGTCACAGCCTCACTGACCACTCCCAACACGGCGTAGAGCGTGAAGGAGATATTGGCGATGGTCGGGTTGCTGAGGTTCACCACCGGTCGAAAAGACTGGAGGTCGAAGACGGAATTCATGGACTCATGTGTGGGCCCGCTCTGCCCCTCCGCACACTGGAGCTTTGTCTCACTCACTGACACTGGGCACAAGACAGTCACAATGTGTAAAACATCTACAAACAAGTCGCATCGTAAAGTCCCATTGTTACTTTTCTTGTACCTGATATGAAGAGTAAGCAGAGGAGGCGGAGGGTCATGGTGCACGGCTGTCCTCGAGCTGCTTCACCAGGAAAGGGCAGTGCTGGTTTGTATTCAGCCCAGTCCTGAACTCTTTTAATTGGATACTTTAAATCAACTCCCCAGAGAGTTAAGTGTCTCTCTTTTATTCTATACATTTTTTGCATAATACTAGGCTTTTCAATATTTCACTAGATTTTTGTGTGAATTATTTGATGTAACATTACTTTTATTGCACTATTCTAAAAAAAAGAAAAGAAACCAAAGTATTATGAAAAAACAAAGAATTGAAACATTGGAAGTTTGTACGCGTCTGCTTCATAAAATCTCTTTTCAAAACATGCACAAATGTAGGTTATTTTATTGGAATATTTTGTCTTGATGATATTTTGAAATACATGTGCACATATAATAAATACATCTGTTGTAAACTAAAAAAGAAATTGTTAGAAATAGAAATGTTTTTAGACACCTATAATTGGCCCTCCCTCTCGCCCATTTTATTTTTCAACACCTGTTCACCGCTGGGACAGAACAGAGTTGTTACTGTTCACCACTGTGCGAAATACAGTGTTGCAGGGGCAATCAAACCCCCTGAAAGCCTCAAAAGCAAAATGACTGTGTATTTGTTTAAAATTAACTGAACAGAGCCATATGTTGACAAGCTGCATATGGTAGAGCATTGGCCTTTGAGCCTGAAGGTTGTGGGTTCGAGCAAACCACAAGACCTTCTCCACCGACTCCCACTGATGTGTGATGTGTTCATGGGCAAGACACTTAACCCCACTCTGCCTGAAGCCCCCGCTGAAAGATCAAGGATATATGCTGTCACAGAGAGAGCAGCCATCCTTCTGTGGACTCACCACCTGCAGGAGAATCAGAGAGGGGCTGGTGCTCTGTGACCCCGACCCTGAAATGGATTGATGGATGGACAGAGCCATATGCAAATTTGCGCCAAACAGAACAAAGACTTTGCCAATGTCCCCTGATTATTGTTGGAAATGGTAAACAACTAGTCAAGGTTACAGACCGTGTCAGGCCTAAAACAGTGGCATAGATGAAGCTGCTGGTGCTGTAAGCCTTCTATACAAGCTACAACAGAAGTCGCACATATTCTCCCCACGTCAAGCCAGTGCGAGCGAGGTCATCAAAAGACATGAGCAGCAGGCTGCAGGAAGACTGTTGTCACTTCTTGTGTTGACCTAAATTCCCGTTTAGGGTCAAATCCAATTTGACTCAATTCCATTTGTCAGAAGTTGGATAAAGGCAAGACATCGCTTCTCTTCTTCTGGGAAAGACAGCTGTCAGCTTCAGTCGGCTTCTTGCTTGGCACTAGCCTTAGCCATCCATAAACTACGGTCAATTATAATTTTTCTTTGTACGAAATTAAAACGAGTATGATGGTAAAGTAAGACCAGGCTAGTTTTGCACCAGTTCTAGAAAAAAAGTCCTTGTTTGTTTGAATAAAAAAATCAAAAAGATCAAAATGGTCCCAAACCATGGATCTCCGTTTTCCACTTGCAGATGCCATGTAAGTCACCTCAAGTCACTCTGTCTCCTCACTACCCAACATTGTTTAGAAATATTGATGCATCATTTATACTTGGATACTTGGATCTACTGAAAGCTATCTAACCATGGAAACGTGTCGAAACGCTCTGAGCCAATGTAAAGCAGCGACACTCATTGAGCCAATGAAACACTTTGATAAATTGACACAGTTGACACACAAAGTGAAGCCGTGATGGCAGTGTCTGAGCATGGATCTGCATTGTTGCCCATCACCACTGTTACTACACACTGTGCAATGAGTGAAGCATAGGTGTGTGTGTGTGCAAGAGCGTGGTTAGTGCGCCCTCCGTGGGTGTGTTGATCTGTGTTGCGCATCATATTGACAGGTATTTCGCACACTGCTGTCCATCAATGTGTATTCATATATAAAAGAAAATATAAGGTCATTAAGATATTCTTAGGATTTCTATTTGTCATGCAAAGCAAGGCAAGTTTATTCGTATAGCAAAATTCATACACTCAAGGCAACGCAAAGTGAACAAAACAAGATAGAGACAGTCACACAAGGCATTAAAATCATAGAAAGAGTGAAGATAAAATTCCTCAGATGTATGCACAGCTAAAAAGAACTGTTTTCAACCAGTTTTTTGGTTGAGTAATGACTAGTTTTTTGTCATATTTGAATATCGTCATATTAGAATAGCAAAATAATATATGTAATATATGGGCTCTACAATGTTGTGATGTCGCATGAATACATGAAGAACAACTAAAAACCTTTCCCCACAGAGACAGTTGCATCATCCTCTCACACAAATCAAAGTATTCAATTCCTTAAACTTTATTCAAAAAAGTCAGTTGCAACTCTAATGGCCCAAAGTTCATGATGAATGATCTCGCAGGGGTCTATTTTGGGCCATGTTTCAGTTTTCACTGTTGAAGGTCCAGATGCAGCCGATGGTGATGAAGCTGACCGTGATGAAGAGGATGTAGAGGCCGAAGAGCAGACGGTCCAATACAAGGCCGAGCAGGTGCCACTCCTTGTTGACATCAGTCCCTCTGGTGTGAGCGTCCACCTGTCTGCGGATCGCACTCACATCTCTGAGGAGCTCACAGAGGGTAGAGTCCTGGACAGATCCTGAGGGGTCCTTCTTTTGGGAGCTGAGCTGGAGGTCCTTTGCTGACAAGTGGACACAGTCATTGTTGACCCCTGCATCAATTTGCAACAAAGAACAACATTATTATACACCATTGTGTATTGATGTTTGCAAAAGAAAGATACTATACAGTATATATATACCAAACCATAATCACAAGTCTATAATCATATGTTAGCTTCAAGTTTTCAGTGGAGTTTCAGAAATAAATTAACTTTTGAACGATATTGCACTTTTCCAAGTTTAATTTGTATACTTTCAATACATGATCACTAAATAGTTTTAGTGAAATAAACATATAATTGAATCCCTTCTTCAAATGTACTGCTATTATTATTATTATTATAATATGTATTGAGAATGGCAACTAGAACTACCTCTACTATACTACTGCTATGGCCATAACTGCCCTGGGGCTGGCTGTTTCACAAAAGCCTCCAGTTCCTTTAAATTCCTGGACTGCCTTGCATGAACCGCACCTAGATCTCCCCAGAGGCATATACTTATATATTTTTGAATGTATTGCTGTTTTATTGGATTTCTGTGTTTTTATTGTATAGTTTTTGTCTTTAAAGGACCCAAATTACGTTTTTTCACTTTTCTCATGATTACAGTGCTATTAGGATTCATACACATGCCCAGAGTAGTTTTCTCATTGTTTCCCTCAAGCTTTAGTTAGAAAGCAATCATTCCCTTTCATTCTCAAGAAGCACAGAAACAGTTTGTGACGTCAAAAGCCCGCCTCCAAGAGGTGATTGGCAGCGGGGAGAAACTTAACCAGCAAATCGTTACTAAAAAATGTTATCACACATGTGGGACAGTAAAAAATTAAGAAAAGCAAAATATGGCACCTTTAAGGTAACCTTGAGGGTTCGAAAGGTGCTAATAAATAATATGTATGATTGATATGATAATGTATTATTATTATTAATATTATTATTATCAAAACAGTTAATTCATTTTATTACTTGAAAACAATAAATGGCTTCACACAATCACTAATCATTCATATAATAATAATAATAATTTCTACCGTATGCTCCACCATCACCTGTCTGTTGAGGAAGCGACACTGTGACTTTGATGACCTCGCATTGACGTGGGAGACACACCAGACTGGCCCCATACTGCAGCAGGAGCACTCTGAGCCAGCGCGGGACTGCCCTGTACTGACCGTGAGACTGAATATTAGTGATCAACACCGTCTCCAACAGACTGGCCACCATGAGAGCCAGCGTGATGGAGAAGAAGACATCTGCAGGAAAGACATAAATCAGCTCAATAGAGTGAGGGCAAAGATTTCACGAATGTAACCTTGACTCACTGATGAGAGGAATGGTATTCCCAGTGACGGGCAGCAGGTCGTTCATGATGAGCAGAAAGACTGTATATCCCAAGATCAGAGTCATTTTAAAAGACGACCTGTCCACGCTCTGAGGAGGCAGCAGGAAACTCAGAAGGTCCACTGTCACCATGAAGATGCTCGGGACCAGCAGGTTCACCACGTACCGAATAGGCCTTCGTCGTAATATTACCTTGTCAAGGACATACCAAGAATGGGTTTAACATATACATACCGTTTTAAATCCACTGAAATGAGTCTTACATAATACTTGAGTTCTGAATAGCGTGACCCTTCAAAATCAAGCACATTCTGAGCATGACGTATATCTGCAAGCTTCCACTCGCCCACGGTGTACATGACCTCGCGAGAGCCTTGGAGGATTTCTTCAGAGGTGAGACCCGCTGAGATCTGAATGTCGCTTGCTGCAGAAAAAGAATATGTTACTTTCTTTTCTGGGTTTTTGCAATGAAATTATTATGACTTACAGGAAGGTCTAAGGTCTAATCACATTCATGGGCATTTATTAATGTTTATTTTAATATTTATTTATTTGGCATTGGACATTCGTCTATGTGTGCTCCTATGTGTGCTTTGTTCTCTGATCTGTGCAGGTGAATCGACAACTTTGTAATGTTCCCAGAGATGACCACTGCTTAGTATTATCATAACATTAACAATGATATTGAGACTTAGATGTGCACACGTGATTGCAAAGACCGTGATTTTCAAACCACATTTATGGAAACTAATTTGTTTAAAAGGCATAAAACATTTGATGTCATATTTGTACAAAATGTTCATCTCAGAAAATCCGAGATATTTACATAACTGATACGACCCCGCTCCCATCTCTGTGTGGAGTGAGAGGACAGTTGTAAACCGCTTTGTGACTCTGGTCTGTGAAAGGCGGTATATAAAAGAAGAGCACTTACGAACCTTCCGACTTTCCAGCATTTAGTGCAGCAGCAACAACAGCCATACAAAAATGTTATTTTTTATTTACATACTTACATTTCTTGTGATTTGAATGTTCGGTACCCCAGACTGAGAATATACGTTATGAATGAGGCCTAAAGTAATTCTTTCAAAAACATGGAGCTTTATACCATTACCAATTATGAAAATATATGATGAGGATAAGGCTAATAGCAAAATAATAATAAACCAAATCTTCCTTTACAAGAAGGACATGACAAGAACTTATACCTGTGTGCAAAAACGATCCGAAGGTCAGAGAGCAGTTTTGGACGTCAAATGGAAAATAGAAGATGGTCAGTTGGCAAGAGGTGACCACTCTCCGTGTCCGGTCGTCATAAACATGGCCCTTGTTGTCGAGGTAAACATACGGAGTGTCAGGAGTCTCCCCGTCCATGCTTGAACAGCAAAAACATGTTGAAAGTAAGTGAGACACATATGCACAGGACTTCCAGCTCCAATAGATGCCACTTTTTTCAAGTTCTTTGAAACTGGCAGCAAATGTGTTAATTTTTATTTTGTTTAAACAAATATTAGTATTAATATCTTCTACTATAGATAGATTGTATCTACCAGAGTGCTTTGATCATCACGAGTCAACGGTGCATTAAAACATCATGAAATCATAGTTTAGGAGGAGGGTCTTGTCTTTTTAGTTACAAACAACTGTAAGATGGGAGGTTATTACCTTGACATTGTCTGACGCTTCGAAGGAAGACAGAATTATACCATCGAAACATGCTGAGGCATTAACCATGCAATCTTTAACTTTCTATAGTTAAATCCTGTTACACTATAACATAAAAACCTGAGGCTTATATTCAAGTGTGGTCTCTTTTTGATCAAAATGTACCTTTTGTAAATGTAGCTGGTGCGGTTTGTACACACTTAATATTGTATATGTTTTAATAACTATATACACATAACACTGTTAGTACTGCAGCCGTCAGTAGAAGGCCTCTAGGAGCAGTTGTACTTTAGAAATAGATTATATAAATAAGAGTGCATTGTGATGACGTACATTTCAGAGATGATGATGTCGGGGAACCAGAGCATGTCACGAGGGACGGACACTTTGCTGATTCCACACTCGTTCTGGTCCCAGCTCAGACCCTCAACGTCCCACTCCTAAAGAAGATTATTCACTATACCAGAATAAACCATACTATACAAACTGCAAACTTACCAATGTTTGCCACATCAACATTGACAGTGTCTGCTCTTTTTCATTCTGTGAAGGCGATGAAATTAAATTAGGCAATTGATAAAGGATTAGAAGGTATATTAAAGGTGAGGTACCTAACCTTTTAACCACAAACATTTTACAATTGAATTACATCAATGTCACTAGATCAGAGCTGTCAAAATGGTTTGGTTCTTCTATCACTAGTTTTTTAGTGACTACCATCCCTCACTCAGCCAATCAGCTCTCACTGTCCGTATGTGAAAGATTAAATGGTTTGTAATAAGATAAGGACAGCATGTTGTGGTCTGACATGTTCACAAAATGTTACTTTAAAAGTCTCTTTCTGTAAAATGTATTCACGAAAAATGTTTTATCAAGTTAGGTACTCCAGCTTTATCTTTTTAGCGGTGGAGCTGGTTATTATGGCTTTGACTGGAAAATGCTAGTATTAGGAGCCTCCAAAGGGACAGTCGTGTGATATATTAAAGAAACGTGGATCAAAAACAGGAAGTCACTTTATATGAATGTGATCTGCCTTTCAGCTCAAACTGTAACATCTCCAACCACCAGAAAAGCGACATTCTTGCTTCAACTTACCACTCCTAAAATGGCCACTAAAGTAACTTTTAGTGTTACATTAGTTGAAGACCTAAAGGTTCTTACTGGGCGTATGAGTCTTTTGGGAAATAACTCTTGTTCAAATGCATGAAACAAGGATTCTGGAGTTGGCTCAGTGCAGTTTAACGCTGCCACAAGCTCTGAGAAGAAAAAAACATGTACATATGTTCAAAATAGAGTATTAGCAGACGATCATAAAGCACAAGTTCAGTGAATATTGGACTTACCTTGAAAAGGCAAAGCAGAAATCAACATTATTGCGATCCAAGAATTCACACAATACATACTATCTGCTTTTGAGCCCAGACAATTTAAGTATAGACGGAGCTTCCTATTACTCTGGAAAGGACTGGTATGTTTACACAGACTTTTGTATTTCCATAATGAACCACACTGAAAAAATGCCTGAAGACTGTAAACCGGAGTACTGCTATCACAACGGGTTGGATACATGTACTGTACACACAACACAGGTGTAGACAGGTGACAACTCTTTACATTTTGTGGTGTGAAAATCTCGAGTGAAACAACAATAATAAATAATAATAATAAAATAATAAATCACATTATATTTACTATACAGAAATACATTCTAATACATTACTGAGAAACTAGTTAGTTCTGCCTGATGCCTCTACAACAGAGTTAAAACACAAACATGCAAAATGTAATGAAACAGTTTATCCAGTTACTGAAACTGGTGGCAGAACAACCGGTTTTGTCTGCAAACAATCATGCAATGGCTTTTAAAACGCTTTTCATTTCTGAAATAAAAATCCACCTGTTAACGACACAATATGCAAATAGTACTTTTACGTTATGATTACAAAAAATATACCTAATGGCAATTTGTGGGGCTTCAGTGACGGCTCACAACATGACATCACTCAGGATGATGATGATGATGATGATGATGATGATGATGATGATGATGATGATGAAAGCTTGTGTTCCTGTGCCCACATCAGAGACACATCTAATCCACAATCAGACAAACAGATAGTAAAAGTAAACAGAGGAGGCTAAATTTCCACATGTTCACTGGTTTTTTAAGCGGCTTCAGTGGAAGAAGCACTGGTTTTGAGCAAAGTCTCTCACTGAGCTTGAACTGAAGCAGACAAATGAACTCCCCAGAGGTAAATGCATCTCTAACAATTAAGAAATTCATATTTAATCATCTGTTCTTTCTATGAAACATATCAATCATAATCAAACACACACTACACCAAAGCAATACTGTAACATCAACAAAAAGAAAAACAGGACTTTTTTTACACCTTCCTCTCACATCAACAACTACACACCCCAGGGACGTAGTGGATACAGCTGTACATCTGAAAGAATACATTTTATAAAAAGAGAAACAATCCTTTATTATATATAATGCAGGTTCCATCTATATTAATTGTATGAAATACATACATACAACACAGAAGTGCATGTCTTCAGATGAGTGGTAGATTTTAAAACGTCTTAAAATACAGTGCACACCACTCCACCGCTGTTTCCCCCTTGAAGATGGTGCAAATGCAGATTATATTTATATTTATTAGTCATTACCCTATACTCATTGAGTACAGGTTTTAAGATGACTAGAATAAATTAAGTGACACAGGTACAAACTTGTCGTAGAAACATCACTACGATTGTCTGTTTTGTCAGCAAGTGAAAACATATCCCTGAGATACAAAGCCAAAATGTGAAGGACTGACATAGATTATTAAACTTAATCTGAGAAAGATACATATAACCTGGAGAGCCGAGGACATGACGCACACAGGGGACACTGTGTCTTGCCCAGAAGAACAAACCAATCCAGTGTTGGAGTTACAATATGTATGTCTCATTACAAAGCAGTCATAAAGGTTAGAGTCTGTTTATTCATGTTGAAAAGCAGAGGATGCTAATGCGCTGTCAAATGCGACATATAGAAGGCGATCACAGTATCATAGCTATTCAAAAGTTACAAATGATGAGTCCTAGTATAGGAATTAGATAGCTATAAAGTGACCTGGCCTTGCATAGGTCACAACAACCCGATTGTGTATCTGTTATGATTGTGTGTCCGTGTTTTGTTCTTTCGATGTCTTGTTATGTTCTGATTGTTCTCTTGATGTGACACGAATGCTTTTCAATGTATGACGTATGTGTGACGTAAACGTTGACTATATAAACCATATCCTGATTATGTTCTGTCTGAAAAAACTGAAAAAACCTGGAAGAAACCTGACAAAGAAACTGAATACACTTCCAGCGAGCTTTGGTGCGCAAAGATCCCGTCTCTGTGTGGTTGATTTTCCACGCTAAAACTAACAATAAGGACATAACATGACTTGTTTTTTAACACCTATGATTGGACCTTCCTCTCAACTGTTTCATTGTTCAACACCATCTCCCCTAGGGACATTAGGGAAATATGAAATACCCAACGTAATAGATTATGTTAATAAATGAGTCACACAGACTGTTGATAAAGCTTTTATTATAGAATATATTAAGCCATTTCATCGACATTTTAAATGATTCAATTTTATCTTATTGTTTCATTGTTTAAAGCTGGAGTACCACAACAAAAAATCTGTGTGGCTCTCAAGAAAGTTTTCACATGCATGTATTTTTTGGCCTCACAGCTTTTTCAGTGAAACAGACAGGACCACCTTCACTCAGCCAATCAGCTCTAAGTATGACAAATATAATGTTGTGTTCTAATAGGCTGAGACAAATACAGCATGTGGTAATTAGGTCACAAAAAGTTAGGTACTCCAGCTTTACATTCATCACTAGACTAATGCATGTACTGCTAAAATATAATCTTTTTTCATGCTGATTGCTGTGCTTGGTGCTGAGGTTGAGCTTGTGTGGAGCCTCATGGGGACCGGGACCACATGGTGACGATGGTGATAAAGCTGACTGATATGAAGATGACGTATGTGACGAAGATGACGCGGTCTGTGATGTAGCCCATCTGAAACCACTCCTCCGAGACCTCACTGCTGCTGCGCTGCTGCTCCACCTGCTGGCGGATCAGGTGTACTTCTCTGCCCACACACTGCAGGGCCTCCACTGTCCTGCTGGGGGGCGCCTGCTCTGCACTGCTGCCCAAAGCCACGGCTCCTAGGGACGTAAAACGTTTTTCAATTAGAAAGATAACAAACATAAACAAATATGTGTATGTATGTTGAAGCTGGGGTAACTCACCTCTTTTCCTCCTTAAAAATACATTAATTTTGCCTCAACAGAAATATTCTTCTAAAAAATACACATGCGGTTTTCTTTCCTTAAAACATGTTACTGTAAGAAAGAGTCCTGGGAGTCACTACTTGACACTTTGGGTTGGGAACTGATTGGTTGAAAAGAGCAGTATTTCCATGGAAACAAAGAGGAGGTTGTTGGAGCTGCAAACTATTCACACTATTCTTTATGTGCAGTGTGCTGTCACAGGTCAGGGTCTTCCAAAGCACTCTACAAATAAAAAAGTGACTTTTCTTGTTACAAGTTACTTCTACAAAGTAACTTGTAACTTTAACATAAATTTTAACTTTTGTATTACGTTATTATCCACTACAGTCAATGCTTTTCACTAAAATCTGTCAAACCAAGGAAACCATAGACGGTCATTGACTTTGCATAGAAACTGGATGCCACCCATGGTCCGGTGTGAATGCCTATGCCCCATAACGCTCTAAACCAATGCAAATCTGGGAAACACATTGAGCCAATGAAATGCTTCTACAGTCCAAGACGCTGACACGTTTATCACATGAAATACATTTCTACAATAGGCTCTTCTGCAGAGTCTGTAAAATGTTAACTCGTGACGTGGCAAACAGTTCGGACGCAGTAGTCCATAGTGGTTTTCTCAAAAGAACTCGAAGAGCGTCATTGTAGGCCTCCTGCAGCTTGCGTAGAATTGTGTAGTTAGTCCAAAGGTGGGCCATGTACAGCGGTCCAAAGGTGGTCCATGTACAGTGGTCCAAAGGTGGGCCATGTACAGCGGTCCAAAGGTGGGCCATGTACAGAGGTCCAAAGGTGGGCCATGTACAGCGGTCCAAAGGTGGTCCATGTACAGCGGTCCAAAGGTGGGCCATGTACAGAGGTCCAAAGGTGGGCCATGTACAGCGGTCCATAGGCGAGCCATGTACAGCGGTCCATAAGCGGGCCATGTACAGCTTTCCAAAGGTGGGCCATGTACAGAAGTCCATAGGTGGGCCATGTACAGAGGTCCATAGGTGGGCCATGTACAGAGGTCCATAGGTGGGCCATGTACAGTGGTCCAGAAAACCTATTTGAAACTTCAAATATGTGTGTGCTTGTGTGTGTGTGTGTGTAGTATATATTTTATAATGCGGGTCTGCTGGGTGATGGGGTTTATGGGATTATGAGCATGTGGAATTGTTTTAACCAAATAAAGCACTTTGTGAAGCATTTTGTATGAATGCTTTATGAATAAAATGTGATTGATTGAGGCATTGAAACTCCACCAGAAACTCATTTTCACTGAAAATGAGGGTGTTCAGGTTTTTGGGATAAAATGTATTTACCATGTACAGCAGGATTTTCAATTATGGTGCTTTCTTTCTTTTTAGCCTTTGGCGGAAGAAACACAAGAGGTCCCAAAAACTTCAGAATGATGAGTCGGAGAATCCAGGGCACTGGGCAGTCTTTGGCCAGACCACACAGGAGGTTTGTGATGATGATTGTCTCCAGTAAACTGCCCACCATCAGGACCAGGCACATACACAAGAACACGTCTAAGGACAGAAACAAAGTCAGAATAAAACCCTCAAATTCTCTATATACTGAACAAAATTAATCTCTCAATAGGGGATAAATTCATTCATTTAAAAGGTAGAAAAGTACAAGTTCATTTTTGTTTTCATCATCTCTGATCTATAATAATCTATGTCATTTTTGTTCAATGTTTTTTTATTTTATTTTATTTATTTATTTTTGTTCAATGAGGGGGCGACAGTAGCTCAGTTGGTAGAGAATTGGCCCTTGGGTCTGAAGGTTGTGGGTTCGAACCCCCATGCGACCTACTCCAACTGCTCCCACTAATGTCTGCTGTCATTGTGTCCTTGGGCAAGACACTTAACCCCACATTGCCTGAGGCTTCCGCTAAAACACCAAGGCTGTGGCACCACTGATGTAGCAGCCATCTTCCTGTGGACTCACCACCTGCAGAGGATCAGCGAGGGACTGGTGCTATGAGCATTGGGAGGCCCCCCATTGACTATTAAAGGGGCAGTGAATGATTTTTGGTTCAATGTACTTAAAGTAGTTGAAGAGATCCTTTGCAGAATTATAGCTATAAGTTAAAATCACGCTTAGATACTTCTTGATAGGTACATTTGATTTCACTCTGCAATAGAAGCTTAGTTTCCATGGAAACAAGCAGGAAAGTGACAAGTATGCGCTTGGACACACATAGTTTTCTATACATTTTGTAAAACTAACTAATGTCTTGAATTAGGTTTGTGTAAAGTCAAGTCAAAGCTGTCGTACTCATCAGAGGTATGGTGTCCCCGGTGACGGGCAGCAAGTTGTTCATGATGAGCAGAAACATGGTGTAGCCCAAAATGAGCGTCACCTTAAACTGTGACCGGTCCACGCTCTGAGGAGGCAGGAGGAAGCTGAAGAGATCCACCCCGATCAGGAGGCAGCTGGGGAGGAGCAGGTTCACCACGTACATGGTGGGACTGCGCTGCACGACCACCTGTCAAACGCACACACACGCACACGCACACGCACACGCAAACGCACGCACACACACACACACGCACACGCACACGTATACACACAATACCCATTGACTGATTATTCTTTCATTTACAATGGAATCTCCAGTGCCTCTGGTAAACATCTTCAGAGAGATGACTTTTCTCAATAAGACCTCTTCTCAGCATGATTAATCAATTTGTTAATTGATTAATCGTATTAAGAATAATACTAGGCAAGGCAAGGCAAGTTTATTTATATAGCACAATTCATACACAAGGCAATTCAAAGTGCTGAACAAAACAAGAAAGCATTAAAATCATAAATTATCACAGAACATTAAAAAGAAAGATAAAAATATAAAATCCCTCAGTTGTATGCACAGTTAAACAGAACCGTCTTTAACCTGGTTTTAAACATTGTCAGAGAGGAGGCCTGTCTCACATCTTCAGGAAGACTGTTCCAGATTTTAGCAGCATTAATCTGAAAAGCAGCCTCCCCATGTTTAGTTCTGACTCTGGGCATTAACAGGAGTCCAGTCCCTGTGCTCCTCAGAGTCCGGGCTGGTTCATATGGGACTAACATGTCACTAATATATTTTGGTGCGAGGCTATGGAGAGACTTGTACACAAGCAGAGCTGTTTTAAAGTCTATTCTCTGAGCCACAGGAAGCCAGTGCAGAGACCTGAGGACTGGACTAATGTGGTCGTACTTCCTGGTTCTTGTCAGGACTCGAGCTGCTGCATTTTGAATGTACTGCAGCTGTTTTACAGCCTGTTTGGACAGACCTGTGAGCAGGCCATTGCAGTAGTCTAACCTACTGGAGACAAATGCATGGATAAGAATCTCCAAGTCTGCTTTAGACACTATGTTTTTGATCCTGGCAATGTTTTTTAGATGGTAAAAAGCTGCTGATGTTACTGATTTGATGTGGCTATTAAAATTTAAGTCTGAGTCCAGTATTACCCCTAGATTTCTGACCTTGTTTGAAGGTTTTAGGGAGAGAGACTGTAGGTGACAGATGACGCTCTCTCTTTGTTTCTGGGGACCAAAGACAATCATTTCAGTTTTGTCTGCGTTTAGCTGAAGGAAGTTGTTTTGCATCCACTCACTGATCTGTTGGATACAGTGAAGGAGTGAGTCCACTGGTCCATGTTCTCCTGCAGTCAGTGAGACATAGATCTGAGTGTCGTCTGCATAGTTATGATAGGAAACTTTGTTTCTGCGTATTAACTGACCTAACGGCAGCATGTAGAGATTGAACAGAAGAGGTCCCAGGATCAACCCCTGTGGGACTCCACAGGTCAGGGCCATATGATCTGAGACACAGTTTCCAATCTCCACAAAGTACTTCCTGTCTTCAAGGTAAGACCTAAACCAACTTAGGGCGGTGCCAGTGACGCCAACCCAGTCCTCTAGTCTCTGTAAGAGGATCTCATGGTCGACGGTGTCAAAGGCAGCACTTAGATCTAACAAGATTAAGATTGAGACTTTGCCTGCGTCAGTGTTCAGCCGGATATCGTTTGTAACCTTAACGAGAGCAGTCTCAGTGCTGTGGTGGGGTCTAAAGCCGGACTGAAACATATCAAATGAGTTGTTGATTATAAGAAATCTAGTAAGCTGTAGGTAGACAACTTTCTCAAGGACTTTCCCCATAAATGGCAGATTTGAGATGGGACGATAGTTGTTAAGTACAGTGGCATCCAGACTGCTCTTTTTTAGCAGGGGCCTGATGACTGCAGTTTTCAGGGCCTTTGGGAATATTCCAGAATGAAGGGACATGTTTACTATCTGTGTGAGTGAAGGTAACAGACTGCTCAGAACAGACTTCAGAAATCTACTATTAGCCTTAATGAATCAATTAAGGTTACAGCCTTATTTGAAAGAGGTTGACGTCGAGGCACAAGTTGTAGCTTAAAAACAAACCAAAGTTGTACCTATGCCAAAAACGTAAAGATAATCTTATCTTTTGTAGAGCATAATTATCGAGACAGGGCCTTCAAATTAACAGACACTTAGAGACTGAAGAAGAGTCCCACTCACTGTTAAAGAGGAACCACTTTGGTCAGGCAGACAACATGTACTTTTACCTCACCTCACTCAAAAGTTCTCATCTTTTTCTGCTATTCGCTTAAATATTATGTACAGTTTGGCCATAGTATATTTACTGGTAATGCTATTCATTTTAACTATATTTTTTTTTTTAAACAATTTGAGATTAGTCAATGTGATGAAATAAAATTTTTATTAATCATAATTAATTTTATAAATAATGAATAATATCACGTGTGTTTGTGTGTCTGTGTTGGCATATATGTCAACAGTACACTGCTGTAAATATGTGTTGCCAATTTTGCTGTAACAATAAATGACTGCATGTCCCTGCCAAATAAAATAAATAAAGCAAATAAAATAAATGAAATAAATACCTATTATATGTATTTGGCAAATAATGTCTTTTGGCTGCGTCTAACAGAAAAAAAACTTTATGGATCTGAAAAGAAACATGTGTGTTACTGTTTCTCCTGAGACACCTACTTGATAACGAAGCTCGAAGTACGTAGTTCCATCGCCAGATGGAAGTTCTAGTTTCCTCACACTCAGCCCGACCAGGTTCCACTCGCCCATTGTGGTCATTACATCTTTTGAGACGTTGAACCTCAGATCATCCTCCCACATGCTGTTGATGTCCAAATCTGAAGCTGTAAATGAGGAGGATTGTTTTAGTTAAAAAAAGATTTCAGAGTAAAATCAGTCACTTTTGAGTCTCACTCATAAGAATGTACGAGTTGAAGCTGAAGCTGCAGTTCTGTGTGTCGAAGGGGAACAAGTAGATGTCCAGGCGACAGGAGCTGACCACCTTCACCGGCTGATCATCCACCACTGTCCCATCACTGTATAAATACACGTACGGCACAGAGGGGGCTGTGTTCTCCTCCATGCTACAGGGAAAGGAACATAGATTTTTAGCATGTGCATAGACAGACTTTCAAAGATAAAAAATACTCACAATTCATTCATGACTATATCTGGCACCCACAGCTTCTTCCTTGGGATAGTTATCCTGCTGGAGCCACACTGCTCAGGGTCCCACTTCACAAACTCATTTTGCCACACCTCCGAAAGCAGAAAGAAAATGATTCCCTCCTTGATTATAATAATCATTGTACATGTGCCATGTTGAGACCTGGGACTTACCAAAAACTGCCAAATGAATGTTGTCAGAAGTTGAGCCTTTTCATCCTGAGAAGAACAATATATTTACATGAGAAAAAGTGCTATAGCTTTTCAGATGGGAGTCTGGCAGCTTTCAATGAGACACAATATTTGGTTGAATACGTAAAAATACTTTTAATTATTTGTGTCCCTTTGGCCTTTGAACGTGTTCTAGAGCAGTGGTCTCCAATCTGTAGCTCGGGAGAAACCAGTAGCTCGCCAACCCCTTTAAGGTAGCTCCCCAAAGGTTTCAGAAATCAGACACATCATCCTAAATGATTAATTTTTGAGTCTTTGAAAATGTAATTTAACTACATGTATTCATTATATTCACTAATGCAGAGTTTTTACACGGGTACTGTCTATGATTTTCCGCAGTTATTACATAGACTAAAGTGTTTTTGCGACAGCAACTGTCTGTGCAGCACTTTGGAAACATGTTTTATAAAATGTGCTATATAAATAAAGTAGATTGGATCGGATTGAAAAAAAAAGAGTAGCTTTCTGCTCTTTCTGTTTCACAAATGTAGCTCTCCAATCAAAAAATGTTGCAGACCCCTGTTCTGGGGGATAGTTACGTGCGTAATAAAGTGCCATAGTTTAGTTCAGTAGAAAATGTATGGATATAATTATGTAAGGGAATAAAAGATGATCAGGATGTAAAAAACACTCCCATCTAGTGGTATTAGTGGGAACAAACTTCTGTTCTTATAATAAACATCCAAACCAATTAGAGAGAGAATAGTTTTGTTTTCAAAGTCAGAGGTCATGTTTGTGCCAGGAGAATTGACAATTGCGTGGATGGAGATAAAAACCACTGTATGCTTAGGAGGAGAGAACAATTTTGTAACACGGGTAAAGCTAGATAAATTACTTAAACAAAAGCACACCTACAAAAAAATACAAAAACTATAAATGAAAAATGATGATGATTTTCTCCCCATGACATCTTAGGTTTCCTCCGGGTGCTCTGGTTTCCCCTACCACTAAAACCTGTGTCATACAGGTCTGGCCTGTATGACAACCCAGCTCTCATGTGAGGAATGAGAGGACAAATGCCCACAACAATTGAAAAGTGCTTTGTGTCTGTGACAGGCGCTATATAATTAAAGATTACTTACTCACTTTCTTAGTCATAAGCCGGACCACGGGTTGCATTAGAAAGCTTTGCCAGGCCCAGGCCAACATAATGCTCTAAAGAAAATAATACTTTGAAGCCCTCCCATGGACTACATACTTGTACCACAGTTTCACTTCCAAAAAGGGGAAATGGACAATGTGCTTTCAAACTGCTAAGTATAGATTCTAGATCATTTTACGTTTTCACAACGCAACGTTTCAGGCCGGTGGATGGATATCTCAAGTGACCAAATAGACCTCACAGCCCACACTTTGTTTGTTGGCTTCACTGGACTCTGCAGAAACAACGTTGTGTGGTTGAGGTGGATTGAGCTTGTCCGTGCAGAGGTAAGAGGCCGTTTGGAGAATGGATGGTGTTTCTCTTGCACTTCATCAGGCACATATCATGAACAACAGTCCCTCATGTCTTGCCTAGGGTTGCAGATGAGTTTTTGATGATTATATGTTAATAGCTGTGATAATTACACAATCCTGGCTGATCTGATCGCTGCTGCAGTGAAACTTCAAATCATTTACATCTTTTGTGGATGCACTGTTCAAAGAGAAGCAGCTTTATTAACTCCTGCATATACACCATCCCAAACCAGTCCTAACTGGAAGTGCCACTTACCACTCCCAAGATCCCAAACATGATGAATTCAACAGTGACATTCGTCGGCGTGGAGAGGTTCGCCACTGGTCTGATGCTGCTGAGTTGGAAAACCGGAGTCAACGCGCTCAGAAGAGCCGGGGGGTCCGGAGAGGAGCAGTTCAACATGACCGCCTCTCCATTCACTGCAGGACACACACAAATTTGATGCAAAACACAGACAACCATCTCATTCTACTCTGGAAATTATTTTTGGATATTAAAGATTGTACTCACCACATAGAAAGAGTATGATGATGCTGAACAGAACTCTAGAGCACTTGATGTTCTGCTGCTGGCACTAAAATATCAGCAGTGTAATATAAGTGTGTTTTTTACATTAGTAATAAATCCACATGAACTGCACATAGGCGTTTATAATGTTTTATTTCATTCATTTAGATCTTGTACAAGATAACACACATAATTCTATCTCTACTAAATCCAAACTGTTGCAGATAATAAATATTTCAACATACATGAATGAGGCTGGGTGATGACCAAACACGCTTATCAATCAAAATATTTAAAATAATTAGTAGAAAAGTAGAAAAATACTTGTAATGATATTCTTAATAAAATTTCATAAACAGACTTGTCTTTTCAGTTGATATAAAATGAAAAGTATAGAATTTTTTGTTTATGTAAAACTTATTGATTTTATAGATGATCTTGCATACTTGCATTTTCCTAATTCCTTAACTGAAATTACGTGAAATGAGACACGAAGCACTGTTTTAACGTAAGTTGGATGCTGCATTATTGACCGAATATTTTTTGGCAAATCTGTTTTAAAAGAGTAAATTATATCCCAATGACTTCCTTCAATAACTTGGACAGCACATCACCCAGCCCGGTGCTAAAGAGCAGCTATTGATTGTAGGAGTTGACCCAGATTATGATGATGGTGACAAAACTGACTGAGATGAAGAGGATGTAGAGGCCGAAGAGCAGGCGGTCTATGACGAAACCCACCTGGACCCACTCCTGGGAGGTCGGACTCTCCCCCATCTGCTGGTCCACGTGGAGCCTCAGGGCCTGAACGTCTTCACCCAGGCTCCTCAGCTGCTGCAAGGCCATGTCCTCCGACAGCTCCCCCTTTCCTCCAGGGGCTACAGTCATCGCTACGCGTGCGTTTGGAGGTCTGACGGCCTGCCCCACTGAAGTGAGAGGTACATCTGTCGAGACAAACATATAGTGTTATATGCATGCATATAATCTGGGGTAAATGAATAAAGCTAGGGTACCTAATATTGAAATCACAGCTCCTCTGCCTCAAAGCAGTTTACTTCTATCACTATTAGATGCATGTACTTTTGGCCTCTGTCCCATCTATGGATCAGTGACTCACAGGGTTTTTTTGTCAAGTAAAATAAAAAATAGTTTTCTACTAAGATGAAGACACCATGTTGGGGTTTGATTTGTTAATTTCTTCTCTTTCAACTTATATACCTAATATGTTAGGTACAACAATGTATGAATCAATACAAAAGTGTATTTTGTTTAGAACATTACTAATTTGTCAGAAAAAAGGAGCAGATCAGTGACTATTTCTGGAAATTGAAGCCACTATACAGAACATAGCACTCATATGTATATATTTCATGGCACATATTGAAATGTAGGAAGGAAGGCCATAAAGACAGGAATGAACAGAAATGATTTCCAGATTAAACTAAAAATAACAATATGCAGTACAATAGGATACATGTACCGTACCATAAATGAAAATAAATCAACACATTTGAAACCAAGTCTTCTATGTACCTGTGTTGTTTTCCTTTGTGGGTTTCCATGGGAGGCAGACAATGCAGCCAAAGACTTGTAGAACAAGGACTCGGAGCCAGCGGGGCACAGGGGAGAGGCGTGTGGAGCTGTGTAGTAAATCTGTGATCAGGATGGTCTCCAGCAGACTGGCCACCATCAGAGCAAGGCACAGAGAGAAGAAGACATCTGAAACACATGCATACCTGCCATCAAAATATGTTAGGGCTGAAAGACTGTCATTGAGATTGCAAGATTTGTGATTTTTACTTGAGTTAAATAAATCTTTTCAATTTGAAAATAATAATAATTTTCATCCTAAAAAAATGAAAATACTTAAGAGTTAAGAAATAGGTCGGTAGGGAAGTCACAAGGCACAATATATTCGCACAAATCAAAAATAGTAATTGTGATAATGGAATAAACAAAAACAACACATTTTCTATACAATCTCAAAGTATTTTTTTTACAGAATGAGAACATTTAGTCTAATTTCAGGCGCAGTAGCAGTTCATTCTTGATTGAAATGGTTAAATACATCATCTTCAAGCACTTGGAAGAGGACTCGTCACATGTCAGACAAAGGAAAGACAAAGGAAAAACGTTTTCATTTCTTTAGTCATTAACCGGGAATATTTGTAAAATCGTGGTGTTGTTTCTCACAATAATCGTAACTTTAAATCATACATAAAAGCAAACATCATAAATATCTTGTCAGCTCATATGAAGGCGACTCACCACTCCGAGGATGCCGTACAGGGTGAAGTAGATGGTGACGTTCGTGGGGGTGTCCATGTCCATGACGGGGCGGATGGCGTTCAGATTGAACACTGGCTCCAGCGCGGACAGCAGCGCGGGCTGGGTGGCCTTTGAGCAGTTTAGGCCATTGCAGGGGGCTGACGGGAACATTTCATTTGGTCTGTCATTCAGGGTCCTAAAGCTGGGATACCTTTATTTATGGCCATTGTATTTTCTAAAGAATTGTTTTAAAGGGTTGACAACCAATAATATGATATTTGAACACGCCTTTAGAGCTGCTCAATATTATATCATGTATCCATTTCTGGTCAGAGCTGTCCCCCAATTCAGGCGGATTATTATTTGATATGATAAAGGTCGATATATATGATTCTATCACATTTAACATTACGTTACATTTTTTTGGTCTGGACACTACCCCAGCCTTAATATACAAATATATCATGTATATGTACAAAAATACAATTGTACAACACCATAAAACAGACAAGATTTCTCAGAGTAACATTGTAACTTAGTGTTTTTGTTATATAATAATAATAATAATAATGCATCGGTTTTATATAGCGCTTATATACATGTCATTATTCATTCACTCCAAACACGGTGGTGATAAACTACTACTGTAGCCACAGCTGCCCTGAGGCACACTGACAGATGGACAGACAAATCTCCATATTTAGTCCATGGCCTCCTGCTAGCTTATATTGATATATATCAGGAGTGTCAAACTCATTGTGTGTCCGGGGCCGAATAACAAGAGCAGGAACTGGTCAAGGGCCGAAAGAATAGATGTGATTTCCTTTTCATATATATATTTTTTAAATTATGAAGATATTTTGACATTAACGACCAAATATAACATTTGTTCATTGCTTTATGAATGATATTTAACAAATGATGTGTTGGGTTAAAATTTTAGAATAAATAACATTTGGTTGTTTATTTAGTGGTAAAATATCTTTCTTTATTATAGCTGTGAACAAACCAGAAAGCCCAAATAAAAAACAATTCTCTTTATGTAGATGTTAATCATCTACTTAACTGTTTTAAATTCTCAATGTAATAACATTTGATAATTATTTGGCTAAATGACACAACAACAAAAATAATGCTATCACAGGAAACATGTATAAATATTGGTGTTGATATCGATCCGTTTAAAAACATACCATGACAGAGAAGTATGCACAAAGCAAACACTTGAAGCTTAACTGATCGGAGCCACTGAAAAGAAAATAGCAGAAAATGAGACTTTTATATTTTCATAATATTGTTTTAGCCCATACCTCTTGTTCAACATCTTTAATGGACATCTTTAAAGATCATGTGGAAATGAAATCCCCTGTACTGGTCTTTGATGTGTGGTTCCTCTGGCTCTCGCTGATGGACCTGATGACAGACCGGTGATGGCTCTATTCATATAGTCACTCTGAAATCTGAGATTTATCTTCCAAAATCCTAAACAAATCATATGGGGATTTTGAAAAACACCGAACAGCACGCCTCCCTGTGTTGGTGGTTTGACTGTAAGCAAAGATAAGCCGCAGTGTGACTTTCTGCAAAAAGATGGAAACCACAGTGGCTCACATGCTCAGGTTTTATGGAAATCAGTGGACGAGGATCTAAACAGGTTTTTGCTGACATGTAGAAAATAGACCAGATAAGAGCAAAAATAGTGCACAATATATACTTTTCATAAATAACTTTTAGTTTAATAAAATGCAGTATTGCACATGAAGGGGTGAATAAGTCTGTCACTGAAACTACTCTCCAGAGCAGACGGTGTCGTGCATGGAGTGACTGTCATGGTCCCCCCTATTCACTGTGTTCAGGGGACAGCCCCAAACATACTATTAACAGAACAAAACAGAAAAAGATTATTTTCAAACCCATAAAAACCAATGGCATTTCAGAAATTTTATATTTTTCTTTCCTTTCTTTTTTTTTTATTGTCTTGTATTTATTGTAATTTATTTTGCTTTTGTTTTTACTGTTTTTTTAATGTATTCCATGCTCAAATAAACAAACATAATAATAAAAAATAAAAGAACAATGATAGTGTTGTGGAATTTCTGCACAGGACGAGAGCAAAAATGATGTAAACAACCAAGAGTAATACAATCAAAGTGTGAGTTTATTCATTAGTAAATGTGCACATATACAATGAATAACAGAGCTGTTATGGACATTAAATAGACCAGAGTAAACAAAGACGTACAGGACAGACCAAAAGTTTGGACACACCTTCCCATCGAAATACTTTTTTATTTTCATGATTATGACAATTGTAGATTCACACTGAAGGCATAAAAACTATGAATGAACTCATGTGGAATTATGTATGTACCAAACAAAAAGTATGAAACAACTGAAAATATGTCTTATATTCTCAGTTTTTCAAAGTAACACCTTTTGCTCTGATTACTGCTTCACACTCTCTTGGCATTCTCTTGATGAGCTTCAAGAGGTAGTGACCTGAAATGGTCTTCCAACAGTCTTGAAGGAGTTCCCAGAGATGCTTAGCACTTGTTGGCCCTTTGGCCTTCACTCTGTGGTCCAGCTCACCCCAAAACCATCAGGACTGGGTTTAGGTCCGGTGACTGTGGAGGCCGGGGTCATCTGCCCCAGCACTCACCACTCTTCTTATTGGTCAAACAGCCCTTACACAGCCTGGTGTGAATCTACAATCAATAGTCATGAAAAGAAAGGAAACTCATTGAATGAGAAAGTGTGTCCAAACTATTGGTCTGAATCTACTCTAGATATTAGACAAATAAAGTCAGTGTTGGTATGTGTCGCTCAAGGCTTCTCTTTACCCTTCCTTACGCTGATACAACTCTGATACTTGTAATACTCTGCTTTGACCTGAAAACATTGTTCTTAGACACAGATAAGATAAGATAAGATAAGAATTCCTTTATTCGTCCCACAGTGGGGAAATTTCGATGTTGCATCGCACTGATATTACCGAAGACATAGAAACCCGTCTCCCATCCTCCAGCTGACCTGCTGCCAACAGATCATATGTGCTGTATTTGAATACAGAGTTGAGAATCAGTTAATAACTTACACTTATAACTATTTGATGTTAATTCAGATTGCTTTACTATAATATTTCTATAACAATAGCAAAACGTGAAAAAAGTATTAAATCAGAATGAAACTTGTTTCAGGTTTTAGGAATTTAAACCATTAAAAGAATATTGCTATCAAGGTGTGTGATAACAATGGTATTATTAATATATGTATCATTGACAGTGGCCACAGTGGACTTCTATTTCTCAATTTAAAGACCCTTGATTCATTATCTTCTGTATTCGCGTCCTCTTCCTCTTCCTCCTCCATGTTAGGGCATAGACTGGCCCTGACTGCAGATCCCTGCCCTGCAGCCCTCACAGTGATCGGGCTCGTGAGGGCTCTTAACCTCCACTCCTTGAGGTTTCTTGTCCATTTCTTCAAACACCTCTTTGTAGAACTTCTTCCTGATGTTCTTCATCAGGCCCTCCAGCATGATAAGCACGTTGTCTTCATCGATGTGCGGTTGCTCCATTGGGGCATCAGTGCATATCTTACAGTTTTGACGAAAGCATCGAACTTTGATGATGCCCTGATGCGTGTGATTGTTGAGATGCATGTGGAAGATCACCATCACTTTATTTGAAGGCCATGTGCGCTTGCACAATCTGCATTTAAACCTTTCAAAGAAGAAAGATGTTTATTATATTGTTATCAGATTATAAACCGATATCTTTTGGTGGCCAATATTTATTGAACATGTTATCGGTTTGGTTATGCTTCTATGGCATATTAAACATTTGCTAATTTACTAAGGAAATAAACCACATCATTTATATTACTCTAAAACCAGTGATTCTCGTTTTTTTCCTGCCAGGCCCCACTAAAGATCTGAGATGAGTTAGTAACAATTACTAATAAATTACTATTATTACAAACCCTGGTTGAAATCAAAGCATGCATTTAAGAAATGAATAAATATTGGCCTAAATATCTGGACAGAGTGCAAATATTTTGCACTGTGATTTTATCCTAGAAGAAAACTGTATAAATGTAAGTTTAGCTTGTTATAAAATAAACCGACCTTGCACAGGTTCTCCTAATGTACTCCTTCCAACCACAGTCTTGATTGTTTTCTTCAATGCTGGTGTCAAACTGCAGATTCCAGTTATCTTGGGTATAATTTTCTGCAATTCTCTGAAATTTTGATGTCCAATCCATTCTCAAATCCATATCGCAGCTAAACTTGCTTGCTTCTGTCTTCCTACTGAGATGCTCTCTATTTAACAGCTGTCGACACGTCACGTGTCCATGTATTAGAAAAGGAAAGTACTTTTGTTTCCAAACATATGACTTAAGTTTCGTTTTGCGAACACAGAGCGCAAGTACCACAACATTTGCCAAACTTACAATTTACACAAAGTCGTGGAGGCATCAACCATGAACCAACTGTTAGTTACACGCTGAATTAACCCTAACTCTATAGTTTATGTTTATAAACGATACCGCAAGTTAAAAGTTATCTTTATCAGACACGTATGAGACTGTCCCCTGCTGGTACATTTTCGTTACTGTCTACGCCTCATAAGAGTTTCGTTTTCGTCTGCAGTGGATTTGGAGCATGGATCTATAATTAGATTTGGACACACCTCACTGTGGCTGGAAAGGTTATTTCCAGGCTAAACGAGTTCCAATAGGCATGGTGCTTCATTGGGTAGAACGTATTTAAATCAAATAATAAGGTAATCAAGACAACTGATTGCATGTGGAAGACTTTGATGAGCACTAGTCAGTATTTTCAAATAATGGTACAATGATACAATATGCTTAAAGTTAACTGGAAATATTACCATTATGCAATATTGTATGCGACTGATGAGAAAAAAACAGATAGTTCAATAGTTGTATTATTATTATGGTTATTACTATGTATGTTTTACACACAGACAATCGAGCTTTTATTTTGACAGGGAGCGGATGTGGGTCAGTCGTCATGGTTACAGAGTTTGCGACTGGCATGCTAGCTTCCACCCGGGTCTGCTTGTTTTTTAAACTAGCTTTGATCCGATGGGGTCTTCAGATACTTACCTTATTCGACCAAACCACCAGGACAAGTGAGTTCTGACAGCCACAGCTCTTAAACCTGCACAATATGACGGTTTCGGCAGATGTTTATGAGCTAACGGTAACTGTGTTAGCATCGAACTGAGCATGTTGTCAAGATTAACGCAAGTGAAACATTAGATACTTATGAATATTTAAAGTAGGACATATGAGAAAAAACATTACAATACAGTTGCTTTACTTTTTGTTTTAAAAGGAAATGCTACGTCCTGCTACTTATGCTGTTATTAGTTCATCTCCCTGTGACACTGGAATGACCTGTGGATCTATGCAATTTACTAATGTACAATTACAGCCGTGATGTGCAAGAATAACATATGTAGGTTAATGTAAGAAAACTCTAGCGTAGATGGGCTTGTTCACACTAAAGAGCACAAAAGTGTGACAAAAGGCCAACAATTAGCTAAATCTTGTGGGATTTAATCTTCTGCTTTTTCAGTCTGGGGACATTTTATTTTCTATGTAACACAGTAGAATGGTCCAATCAGAGGCTGATTTGGTCGTATAAAATGTCGCTAACATATTTTTTGTCAATCTTTCCTTTTGATTTTTTTCACACTATCTCTTCAATGTGTCTGTGTTTGAAATCTTTTTTCCAATCTATGAAAGTAATCTCAGTTTTTAAGTTATAACCTTTTAAAGTCCAGATACTTTAATTGTCACTTTACTATGAACACACTCAGTTATACATTTTGTTATTGAGTATATCATTTTAGGTTTAAACCAGCTGTGGTGAAAGAATGCATTCGAGAAATAGTGAGGGAGCAGCTAACTGGAGTGCGTTATGACTCTGAAGAGGTTCACCAACTTTCCAACACACTGGCAATCAGCATTAAGGACAGAGTTAAGAGTAAGTCACTTTACTTTAACAAAATGCCAAGGGGAAATAAAGAATCCAACACCAATGTTCTTGTTGCAGAGGCTGGATTTGACCGATACAAACTTGTTGTGCAGGTTGTGATTGGTGAACAACGAGGACAAGGAGTGAAGTAAGTCGCTAATGTTCACATTATGGGCACTTATGATTCATGTATTTAGCATGTGTGAGCTGGAGTTGTCTATCAAGTTGTCTGCATGAGGGGTAAGTACTTCAGGGATGGAAAAAAAATAAGGATTCATGGCTTACCCTGATGAAGACCATCAAAACCAGTCAAAACAACATGTCCCAGTGTGCCAGTCAGAGTTTCTCAGACCTTTCCATTTTTGTTCTACAATTGGTATATTTGTTTAGTTTTTGCATCTTTCTCTGTGGATGTTTCGCCTTGCGGCTGGCCTGTTGCACCATCTTTTCATGTTTGACCTGAGCTTTAGTATGTACAAGGTTCCTACAGGTGCTTAAAGTTGTAAAAAACATTGAGTTTATGAATTTGGAAATAATAACTTCACACGACTTGAGTTTTGATATGTAGCCTCTTGAATTTTGATTTCTGCTTCTTTTTCCTTCTACCCTTGGCAAGAATAGACATAATAGTCCTGCTGTGACTGATCTTGGTTTGGTCATTTCTGGAGTGTTTGCCTGAGTATTTTATCCCTATCTCTCCTCTACATGTCTGCCTCCCCTTTTCTCTGACTGAATTTGAAAAGAAATTCTCTCCATTCGATTTGTCACTGGAACAAGTATCTTTTGTCGTGTATATAATCTATATTATACACATACATACGTTCTATGGCCCTGATCCATCAGTTAAATGCCTCTCTCAATATGGGTTTTATTCAATCTGTTCAATTCTCTTATTACATATACTATATATAGTGTTATCTTTTGTTGGCAAATCAACAACTTTTTAAAGTAAAAAAAGAAAGTAATTCATTTGAGTTCACTCCAAAGAATATTCTTTTACTTATATGTAACACTGCTTGATTGCCAAGTATAAATGCAAACATTCACTTGCCTGACTTTGCCTTGATAAAACTAAAAAGCTTACTCTCTAAGTCCCTTCTTTACTAATGTGAGCATGGTTTTGTATTATAGGATGTCCACAAGGTGCTTCTGGGATGCTGACACGGACAGCTTTGCAGAAGATGTTTTTATCACTGTGAGTTGATAAATCAGTAAAGTGTGCACTTAATACAGACTCTCAAAGTCTTTTTCTCTTGTGCTTTTTCAGGAAAATCTGTTTTGTGTGGCTGTGGTGTTTGGAAGCTATTTCTATTGACACCTGCTGATGTTGTGAGACAAGTGTTTTCTTTGTGTGTTCAGTGTATGTGTTCAGTGAAGACTGGCCTGCAACGTGTTTAAATACAGACTTTAATATATGTAATGAAGAGAGTAAAGGGTTATGGTTTTTCATTCAAACATATCATTTATACATTTACATAAACAATTGGGAGAGCCTTGCTCTTTGGACCTAATGGTTGTGGGTTACCTCCACCTGACACTTATACCTGTCAGACATCCTGATGTCTGCTTTTGTTGTGTCTCTGGGCAAGACACCTAACCTCACGCTGAAAAACCAAGGCCGTGTCTTCGCTGACGGAGCAGCTATCCTCTCACCTGGTGCAAGAACATTGGGTGACAGTTCTGGTTGTCGCCCCCTGACCCAGAATATAATGAATGAATGCTAAGATAAGTATCAGTATTTTGGCAAAATGAAGACCTTAGATCACAATGCATTATGCCATTTTCTTTATGTAAGACATCAATTTTTGCCTGTACGTTGTCTCGAGAAATACAAATTAACCCATCATCAAAAATGTGGAGACAGTTATAAAAGAAAATAAGTACTTGAAGTTCCATTTGAAACTACATAAATTAAGACAAATATCCACTCATTATCTTTGTATGTGTAAGTATGTACTGTAAGTCTTTTAGGTCTTATGCATTAGTTTACATTTAGATTCATGGATCCAAATAATGCTTTTAGATCCTTAGAGTATACTCTTTATTTGTTTTGTACTTTTATAAAGTGTTTTGCTGGGATCATCCTGCGATATGGTTATTGTGTCAGTAACAGTTGAACTTTGTTATCATCACAGACATTATCAAGAGGTCAGAGTCCAAAGGTGAGTTTATTAAAGGCAGATCAGTTTATTGGAATGTGGACAGTCTGATTTCATTATAACCGAAGACTAAATTAGAGTAAAAATGAAAGAGCCATTTTTTTCATCTGAGATTTGGAAGAATCCACTGTTTTGTTGTGTCCATGGCTAAGGTTTTGATTTCAGGGACCTTTCTCACATTTTCTCATTTCATTTCATTAGCATGCTGGGAACTGTTCAGACCAAATCAGTAAAATCCTCATGGGGAATGAAGCAACCATAAAAGACTAAAAAAGTCTTGATGAAAGGAAATCATATCTATTTAATAATAATGACCTTAGTTTTTGGCAGCAGCAAGGGCTCTTTTGAAAAAAATACTGATTTATCTGTGCATCAAACAGTTTTATTTTGAAGACTGAATACTTCGAAGCGTAATGAGGTCATTGACAGATTGACCCCAATGAGTTCTTAAAGCCTTCTATATAATCAAAATCAATAGTCTCTTTATGTTGATGTCATTAATTCAGCTTTGCCCCTAGAATACCCTTCAAAGGTGTTTATACGTAAGTCTAACTGTCAGGCTCAAGTAAATGAGTCGAACCACTCATCTGTTCAGGCTGACGCTTTGATCCTGTTGCTCTGATCTGAACGTGTTTACGCTCTGTTCAGCCACATTTCATTTACATGAAAAACTTTCAAGTCGAGAATCCAAACAGCTAAGTTAAGATATGAGCACCTTTATCTGTCGCACATTGGGGTCATTTCTCTTTCCTGTAATGAGAGCACTCAAACAAGATAATTAAACAGGTAAACAAGATAATGAATAAATAATCAGTCTAAACATGACATAATACATAAACTTACATAATGGGCAGTTCAGACGGGGACACTGCCACAGTAATACGATAGAGTTGGGTAAATTTCTCCACTGTGAGATCAATAAAGTTGATCTTATTGGATTGGTCTTTTATTTACATGAAGACGATGTTTCAGGGGCGGAAACGCAGCGTATATATCTTGAACAGATACGCTGTGAAACACAGCCACGTGAAGAAAAAGATTTGAATTCTCTGCCTGCCGTGACCTCCACTTATCTGCTTCTATTTACGTAAACAGAAGCAGATAAAGTGACTTATGACTTGTGCACAACTGCTCAAACTTGCAATTTATTGCCACAGGCGGGATCAGTCAGCAGCCGTCACCTTGGGCTCTCACCGTGTCCAGGGGAGAGCCCAGAATTATCACAGCTATGATTTTGTTTTTGTTCTGCAGAATCCGTCTCCAGTTTGTCTCATGAACATCCCAATGCACGTTGTAATGCTCTATCATGATTTTGAAAAATGAATGAATGGAGGAAATAACCACATTTTGAATAATAAAAAAAAAAACAGACCAATCACTTCATCCACTTTGATAAGAAACGATATGGACCTCAAGACAGTGATGGAAATTTCAGCAGTCTTCATGTGAAATATCATAAAATACATAAGACAACAGTAGAGAACCTTTATTTGTCCCACAGTGGGAAATGTCAATGTTGCAACACACTGGACGAGAGCACACAGGGAGCACACACAATATATAATATGCTGTTAGTCGCTGCTGTGTTTCTTAGCTAGCTGTAAATGCTCCAATATCTATGTATATCTATCTGAAGCAGTATTGCACATATTGCAGCATATTATTGTAGTATTTACTATTTACAGATGAGATGACATGTGGCTCAGCAGTTCTCATTGTACAGTCTGACAGAAGCAGGAAGTAAAGACCTGCAGAACCTCTCCTTCAAAGGGAACATGTCTGTCAGTAAAGCTGAAGCTGACTCTTGATGATATATATTTAGAATGGAAATGACCTTAGTTATTGGCAGCAGCATTGGCTTTTTTGGATAATAATTTAAAGGTTCATCAATCAGCTTCCTTTTGAACACGGCATGTTTCAACGTTGTCGGGTGTAAACATACATTTCACTTATTTGGATGAATGTTGATAATAACCACATTTTGAAACAGATTAGCCATCGTTGAGAAGACGGCAAAAAGATTGTAGCTTTTCCTCCGTCTGACAGGTCTCAACAATTACTTTCAACTTGCTCCATCAAAATACAAAAACAGCTACCTCTCTTCTTTCAAACACTTTCCTAATTAGTGATGCTTTCACTTGAATGAATTTGAATGCTATTCTTAGAAATGGGATGAAAATATGTAGTTTATTTATGTAATACAAAGCTGTGAACTTCAGATGATAAAACAAAAGCCAAAAAGAAGAAGAGGGAATAACAAAAGAGTTTTCTGTGTTAGAGCGCCAATCTCTTTGGATCTGCATGCTCTTGAGAAAATCTTGCAGGTTGCTCATAATGCTAATTGTGTTGAGAAGTGCTGTCTCACCGTTCAAATAGCCAACTTTATTGAACAAAGCAAAACAGAAGATAATGCTTCTTGAAAGTGTAACGCTGCATTCCATTTGTACGGCATTGGTCATATTTTTCTGTTGAGTAAGCACATGAACTGTGTAACTGGCCTATGTGTATAATTCTTTCTTCATTCCACAAAGGGGACATTTCAGTGTTGCATCACTTACAGAACAGTAAGAATGTGGAGCACATATAATAAAAAGCAAGTATAAAATACTGTGGCTATGAAATATAGTTGTATGATTACACCTCTGCATGTTAGCAGCATGAGGATATGAGACAAAGTGGCTGATTAAAGTGACAGTAACACATGTGATTCTATATTGCCGTCTGTCACTGAAGCTGCTCTGCAGAGCAGAGAGAGTGTCCTGCAGGGGGCGACAGTCATGGTCTAATATAGACGTTAGTTTATCCAGGACCCTCCTGTCCCCCACCTGGCCCCGAAACGTGACAAAGCTGGGTACTGCTGAGAGTTTGTGAGATTCTTTGTGAGTTTGTACACATATAGCTATTAGGGCTGTCAAAATTATCGCGTTAATGCATGTTAAATACTTTTTTCATTATTTGCGTAAAAAAAAGAAAGTATTAATGCATGTCGAATGACCCGCCGCTAATAAAAACACAGCAAATGGCGCCGCGGTAATGTGATCCAAGACCATTCAGGCACAGAATCTCTGCATGTTGTCCGTGTCGTAACCTGTGCGTAACTGTGCAGCAATAAATACACATATACTGAAGCTGAACTATGGAGCCTCAGGAAGTGTCTTGTCTCCTCCTGTCTTCTCCTGGGTAACACTTTATAATACTGTTTGCTTATAAATAATTTATAAATCATTGACTACTAGTTAATAAAACATTAACGTATGTCTTATTTATATAAAAAAAAATATTATCTAAACTTTAACAACTCATTAACAAGTGTTATTTGTTACTGTTTTGAAAATCATTACATACTAATGAACAAATAATCTTGGAATCATTAAGACATGTTTTACTCAAGTGTTTATAATCATTCATAATTGATTCACACATGATTTACTAATTGTTATTAATTCATAAAGTGTTACCTTCTCCTGAAACATCCCTTTCCCTTTCATTAACAGCTCATGTTGGTTGTGCCCAAAAGTAAAAGGTTGTGAGTAAATCAAACAGATTCAAGTACATTTGGTAAGAATGACAATGTGTCATTACATTTGATAATCTCATTTCACTTCAATTGGAGTGGATTTGAAATAGAATGTTAAAAATGTGATTAATTGTGCGTTAACTCACTATTAACTATAACACAGACGTCGAGCCAGAGCCGACTCTACCTGCTGAGGAGGCTCAGGTCTTTTGGAGTGCAGGGGTCACTCCTGAAGATCTTCTATGACTCTGTGGTGGCATCAGCCATCTTGTACGGTGTGGTCTGCTGGAGCAGCAGCATCACAGAGAGGGACAGGAAGAAGCTGGACATGGTCATCAGGAAGTCCAGCTCAGTCCTGGGCTGTTCCCTGGACACAGTGCAGCAGGTGGGGACAGGAGGGTCCTGAGCAAACTAACATCTATGCTGGACCATGACTGTCACCCCCTGCAGGACACTCTCTCTGCTCTGGAGAGCAGCTTCAGTGACAGACTAATTCACCCTCGATGTGTGAAGGAGAGGTTTCGCAGGTCTTTCCTTCCTGCTGCTGTCAGGCTGTACAACGAGAATGTGTAACAAGAACTGCTGAGTCTGTACAAATGTCACTGGCTGTGTCCAAAACGGTAGGCATCGGGCCGCGTA